GTAAAATATTTTATTTACTGCATTAATGATTTCCCATTCATCATGTATTGGGGTGGGTGGACTCCTATTTTTGAATTTGTTTTAATTTTAATTTTATACTCACATATATACTTAAACTCATATACGCAAATATAATGATAGCAAGTACAACTATCATTGTAACAATACTTACCTCTCTGGCAGGTTGCTACATTTTCTAAGAAATATGGCTGGTGGGGGATGATTCTGCTGGGATAGAGACACAGGAAGAGGACTTTTCTCACATGCTTTTCTAGTAGATTCAGCTCATCTACCAGCCTGCCAAACAGCCCTCCAAACAGAATTTGATAAAACCTGGGAGGATCTTTGAATTCTACTGACAGAAGTAAATTCTCATCACACACCATCCTCATTGACTGTAATCTGAGCAGTGGTGATCAATAAAGTGAGCATTCTATCCTTATGAGGGGAGCAGCTTTCTAACCTTCATAGACATGCAATGATTCAGGATGCATTCATGATGATTTGTGGAAAGGGAGGGAGACAGAGCAGTTTAAAGAAAAATGGAAAAAGGAAAACACAAATTAAAAAAGGCAAGTTGTTTACCTGTCACTGTCGTTCTTGGAGTGGTCATCTGTGCATTCACACATATGAGCTCTGTGCCTGCATAGAGCTTGTTGCAGAGAAGATTTAATAGCTGAGAGCATTTTGGCAGGAACCCCTCCCCCCTTGCAACTGTATAAAGAGAGGTTCCTGCCATTTCCCCTCTATTCCAGCAAGACCACCTGGTGGCCTTGGGACTAAGGGAGAAACAATAGCATGGGAGTTCCTATTCCTCCTGCAGCAAGGTGGTACCATTCTGGATTAGTACCATAAAGCGGTACCAGGGGGACAGCAGTACCAAATCTGCATTAGTGGAACAGTACCAAAGCCCCCACTAAATAGGGAAATATTCAGAGTAGAACACACTGACAAAAAGCACAGATAACTAAGTCACTCACAATACCCAGTAGGGTAGGTGGGTGGGTTTTATGAATATGCAGATGACCACCCAAAGAATGACAGTTACAGGTAAGCAACTTCCCTTTCCTCTTTATTGTCTCTGTGCATCAAACATATGGGCAACTAGCAAGTTTATCCATACATGGTTGGTGGGCAGGGTCATAATTTGAGAATCTCCAAAAGAACTGCTCTCCCAAAAACACAGTCTGTTCTGGTCAATGTGATAATGTTTGACAGAGGTGGAACAGGTCAAACCTGGTTTTTTGCAAGCGTCTGGTAACAGGATACTGCATGCAGTGCTGTTGAAGCTGCCATTGCTTGGGTCGAATGTCCTTTAGGTGGTGCTGGGAGTTGCAGTCCTGCTAGCTTCTAAGCAGACAACCTTGTTCAGACAACCCAAGCTGATATCTTCCGAAACGAGAGGAGCTGACCTTTTGTTTTGCCTCCATAGCAAACGAAATGTTTTTGGGATTGATGGAAGGACTCAATTCTGGAATGGAAGAATACCAGTGGGCTATGTACATCCAGAGTATGAAGAGTAGATTCCACTGGACTGGGTGGGGATGCAAAAAGGATGGTAAAAGAATGACCTGATTCAAATTAAATTGGGATTCAACTTTGGGTATAAAGGAAGGATCTGGATGAAGTACAACCCTGTTCAAAGGAAAGACAAGTTATGGAGGATCTATCGATAGGGCACAAAAGTTCGCTAGATCATTGAACGGAAGTAATGGCCACCAAAAAGGCCACCTTTCAGGACAGTAAAGAGAGGTTGGCTGTCACCAGAGGCTCAAATGGTTTTCTTGTCAAAGCATGTAGCACCACCAATAAGCTCCAAGATTGTGTTAATGTCAGAGTTGGTGGCAGGATATTTTTTAAACACTTTAGGACTCATTTCCTTAGAAAGTGTGAAAAAACTGATGAGCCCTGGATCATGTTGTGGAAGATGGAGATGACTGATAGGTGCACTCTAATGGATGATCCTTTCAAGCCATGCTGGTAAAGGGAAACAAGGTAGAGAAAGATTAGCTCTATCATGCAGCTTTTGGGATCAAAGCCCTGAGTATCTGTGTGTGTTGAGGAAGCATTTTACTTTGCCCAGTACAATTTTCTAGTGGCTGGTTTCAGAACCACTTCAGTAATGGAGGTTAGTTGCTTCCAGTCTGGTACTAGCAGGCACTGGATGGAATTCCCCCACTCCTTACCAGACAGGTTGAAAATCCAGATAAACCATGGCTGCCTTGACCCCAGGGAGCAATCATGATGCTGTCTTTAGAGTCCACCTATAACTTCCCCAACACTCGTGCTATCAAAAGGAATGTGGGGGAAAGGTAGAAAAGTGTTCCTGTCCAATATATCAGGAATACCTCTCCCACAGTCTCTGCCCTCTCGTGCCTGAAAGAAGAAACGTCAGCACACAACATTGTCTGGAGTGAAGAGATCTACTGTTAGGGATACCTGTGTCCTGATGATCTCATCTGGGATCTTTGGTTTCATTTGCCACTCATGAATATTGAGACTCCTTCTGTTGAGACAAACTGCTAGAATGTTGTCAGTCCCAGTGACATGAATGGCTGTCAGTGTGATGCATCACTTGACACACCAGTTCCAGATTTGTTAACAGGTTTGACCTGCTTGTTGAGGTAGAACACAACTGTGTCCATCACAACTTGTATGTGGTGTCCCTGAAGTGAAGTCTGGAACACACTGAGAACCTTCTATACTGCAAGCAGATTTAGATAGTTTATATAACCATGGGCTTCCAGCTTCCCCCACATTCCTTGCATTTGAAGTGAGTCACAGTGGGCTCCTCATCTGAGCAAGGAGGCATTTGTCATTGCCATAAGCAACAGTTGAGGACTGAGAAATGGCATATTCCCTTGGATAGTTTGGTACCATGAGCCCTCCAATAGATACTAGAACAGACGGCTGTGGGCATCTGGAAGTGCTTCCATGGGTGGTCAACTGCTGGGTTGAAAAATGAATGAACCACAAAAAATGAATGAACCACAGGAACAGTTATATCTGGAGCCTGGCCAAGGGAAGTACTAACAGTCATCGCCATGAGACCAGGGAGCCATTGAATCTGGATAGCCAAGGCAACATACAGCCATTGAAATTGGGAGGCTGTCTCAATTAATGTTGCTGCACTGAAGTGCCACTGCTTTGGTGGAGTCTGTGTGTGTCTGCATCCCAAACAATTCAGAATTGAAGAGTGAAAAAAAATTCAGTGAGATTGTGGAGGATGGGCTTGGTCAAGATTCTGAGATGAAGGAGGTGAAGGTGATTACCTCAAGGTCAGACACTTTGCCAAGCTAGGCAGTTTCTGGGCCAACCAAGATGTACAGCCAGTGGAAAGGTCTCTGCGAATAAGGAATTCTCATACGCAGATCAGCTCTCAACCCCATGGTGAGGCATCAGTAGAAAAAGGAGGTCCAATTGAATTATTGGCCAGGGCGACTTATTTTATACTGTTAATGTATATTATTTTAATTGAAATTATTCATTTATGTTGTGAGCCACCCCGAGGCTTCGGCGAATGGGGTGGCATAGAAATTTACTAAATAAATAAATAAGTAGTGGAGAGGAAGCATGCTTGCCTTCTGAGAGTCCCTCCTGAGGGTATGGGCCCCAAACATGTTCATATGGGAATGGGCTTCTTGCATTAGTCTAGACAAGTGTGGCCATGGGGAAAGAGAGACAAGAACTGTGAGAAATACTGAAGACTAGTAGAGAGAAGATAAATCTGGTAAACAAAGAGGATGGGGGGGTTGGAAGAGGGGTGTTTTTTTTGGCTTGTTTTTGGAAGGAACCAGCAAAGGAGCAGAAAATACACAAGTTTTTAGAAATAAAGGGATCAAAACAATGGTAAGAATATTCAGAAAAAGACTGAAGAAAAATGCTCTGAGAGAAAGGATGGAAAAGAAGAACTTCCTAAGGCACTGAAGGCAGTAGAAGAGGAACTGAGGGAAATGGCAGGAGCCACTCCCTTTTATACAGTTGCAGGGGGAAGGGTTTTTACCAAAATGCTCTCAACTATTAAATTATCCTGGCAACAGGCTCCACACAGGTACAGAGCCTATATGTATGATGCACAGAGACCACAAAAAAGAACCACAGCTTCCTCTGTCAAAAGTGACTCATAGACCCTCAGCTTAACTTAATATATGATCTGGCCAGGACAACTTCTTCTTCCTTCTCTTTTCTCCTCCTATATTCTTTATTTACTTATTTTATACTGTTAATTTTAATTTTATATTATTGTATCTCAGTGTATCTTTGTATTTTTGTATTTAAGTGGTAATTTATTATGTTCTATTGTATTTGAATGTATCTTATTGTGTTGTAAGCCGCCCCGAGGCTTCGGCAAGGGGCGGCATAGAAATGTTGTAATAATAACAACAACAACAACTTTCCTCACATAGTTATTCTGAGGGTAAAATGTTGTGAGAATCAAGATAGCACAAGGCATAAAACCAAATAGTTATATTACATTTCCATGGAGGTGAGGAGAAGGTTAAAGGTAGCATTTGCATAAAACCAAGCATTTGCTTTACCTTACTTGAAGGTGAGGGGGAAGAGCAGAAGTTGAATTTGGATCAGTCTGAAGTTCAGCTTCATTGGGTTGTATCTAGTGTTGGACCTAATTAGAACAGACCCAATAAAATGAATGGAACTTGTTAGATTAACATTGAATATTATCAACTAGATACAACCTTCTGTCTCCCATTCTGTGTGGCCAGCTGAAGCACACAGAAATGTTAGTAACATTGAGCCTTTTTGCTTTGCCTGCCTTCTTTATTTGTCAATTAAGTTGAGGTTGTGCTATACTTTCTCCCTTGTAAATCTGTATTCCCAGGAACTTCTCTCAGATGAGGAAAGATCACATGGAAGCAAAAGAGAGGTAAGTGGAAGACCTCGGAAGGTTTCAACTCTCCTTTCCAGCTGTGCTTTTAAAATTGGACACTTCACCCATCATGCAGCTTCAATAAAATACCAAAGGAACAAATACATGCAAATTTCTTTTTAACCATTTAATTGGAATTGATGGTATGCAGCCTGTACATACAAATAACTGGACACCTGACTTCAGACCTAGCTAAATATATGATTAAAAATCAGACAGAAAAGTGTATCTCATTTGTATTATTTGAGCTCCAAAGACTTCACTTCAACACTGCATTTCAATGAATTGCAAGAGCAGAGAGGACACATGTAATAAATACTCAGCTGTATTTTCTATTTAGATTAGTAAAACTATTTCAGGAAGAAACACAGTAAATACGAATAACATCCATTTGGCATTTTTCAAGGATCTTTGCTATAAATGATATGGGGTAGTTGTGAATGTTTGTGGTTCCACTGCCAAAAGCTTACAATACAATCCTATGGACATTTAGGCAGGAAAAAAGCTGTCTTCTTTCTAAACATGCACAGGATTGCACTCTTACTGGATTATTTTTTCACATGGATAAAGGAGGGGGATAGACATCTCAAAACAATCACTGAAGGGGTAGATGTGTTACTCCACAGTAGCAACATAAACAATGGATAATGGCACCATAAAGGTGGAAAGACGGATTACAATCTATGCCAAAAATACACAAATTAAATTTGTCTGTAAGGCACAACCCTATGCCTGTTTGAAGAGAAATGCTCTACAACTCCTAGTATGACCCAGACAGGGATTGTTCATTACGGGAGGGACAGGCACCCTGGTGCTCCCCAAGTGTTTTTTATAACTCCCAATGATTCCCCATCATTTGTGGTTCTGCCTGGCACACCTAAGGGAGTTGCCTAAAACACCTGGAAGGTTCCAGATTGTCTACCCCCTGCTTATGGTATCCCAAGACTGTGTTGTTTGAAAACATCAAGAAACACTAAGACAGTCTTTCTTTCGCCAATAAAACAAATTGGCACTGTAAACTTTTCACCGATTCCTTGAGTGACAAAATCGCAAATCCCAGCGTGAACTGCAAGAGATGGGGGTGTCGACATAGTTTATGCAACTATGACTGCCTCTAGAAGCTGGAAAGGTCCAAGTTCTTGCAGAATCGCTCGACTTTCTTATAAATCGGAGGGCCGAGCTCCAGAGCGGCCTGCTTATGTGCAGAGACACGCAAAGCACTGAGCGTGGCGCTCAGATCGTGTACTAGATATGACAGGTGCCAAAAGCGCTCATGTCCGAGGCGGAGCTGTGGAGAAGAAAGGACAGACAGATTTAAAAGGAGTCTGAAGTTCCTTCCGTGACGGGGATCAACTGCGGATGGCCTGTGAGGAGTGCTGGCAGGCTGCGGCTAGTATGAGACACCGGCAAGGTCCTCCTCGAGGCCGGGAAGAGACGCTGCTGAGGGCGGGGCAGCAAAGCCGGGCAGCGACTCCATGTGGCAGCGAGCGGGGTCGGGATCAACGTGCTTAACTGTACGACGGCAGGAGCTGCTTGCGAGCCCGTCATGATGCTCTCGATGCTGAAGGAACACCTGCCGCTGCCGACCTCGGTCTGAGCCCGCGCGTTTTCCTTCTCTGAGCCCTTGTGCCGCTTCCCCGCCTGCAAGGAGCACACTGCCCCTTTCGTTTCGGGCGGCAGAAACGGCGGTGGCGGCAGCACGTAGGAGGGCAGGGAGGCGGCCGCTGGGTGGAGCAGGGTGCAAGAAGGTGGCGGTGGCAGAGGCGGGAAAAGTACGATCCCGCTGTGGGGGACGGCGGCGGCAGCGGGCAAAGTCGCCGCCAGGGGCCGCTTGAAGCGCTTCCTGCGGCGGAGGAAGCTGCCGTTGTGAAACATGTCCTGCGAGGCCGGGTGGAGGCGCCAGTAGTTGCCTTTGCCCGGGCTGCCGGGCTCGCGGGGCACCTTGACGAAGCAGTCGTTGAGCGAGAGGTTGTGGCGGATGGAGTTCTGCCAAGCAGGGAAGCGCCGCCGGTAATAAGGAAAGCGTCCGCGGATGAAGGCGCAGATGCCGCTCAGCGGCAGCTTTTGCTGCGGGCTCTGCAGAATAGCCATGGTGATCAGCGCTATGTACGAGTACGGCGGCTTGGCGAGCCCGTCCTCTGTCGTGGCGGAGACGGCAGCAGCCCCGTCAAGGCGTGCCTGCCCGCCAGCTCCTTCGGTCTCGCCTGCTCTGGCGGGACCCTCCGGCCCCACCTTCCGGCGAAGGAATCCTCGCTCGTCTTCGCCCAAAACGTCGATCTCTTCGTCTTCGTCGTCTTCCTCCCCATCTGAACCTCGGGCTCGGAGCTGGTCGAAAGCCGCCTCCTCGGCGGGCAGGCTCATAAGGAGCAAAGCCCAAGGCAAACAGCTGCGAAGGAGGAAAAAGAATCAGAAGCAAGCAGCAGCCGCTGCTCCCCTCTTGCACTGGTCTCTGTTTTATTGCCTTCTGCGCGCCCCCTCCCCGCCCTCGAAATGTGGACGGGGACCGCATTCGCCTGCAGCCCATTGGCTGCAAACGTCGTGGCCAAGCCCCGTTCACAGGGTGGGGAGGATGCGCCGCTGGCGGACCCTGCTGGGATAAAGACTTTATCCACTTAGGAATGAACGTCAAAGCGCACACTTTAAAAACACTTCACCCCTCCCCCCCCCGCAGCCTCATCCGCTAATTTTTAAGGGAACTTCCAAACTTAAAAAAAGTTATATAGCAACAGGAAGCGGGGAAGGCAGGAAGTCCCTCAGTTAACAGCAAGCTGTGTTTGGACTGCTCTGTCTCTTCCAAAATTTAAGCAACACGAGGGACTCGGTCCAGCTGTCACACGCATCTGGTCTCGCATAATTAAGCCAGTGGTTGCCGATGCGTATCTCTTTTACACTCTGAAGAGCATCCAACAAGTTCAGCTGGGCTAGAATGAGAATAGATTGTAGATATGTAGCCAAACAGCAAATAAAAGACTGCTAAAAGGAACAATCCTATGCATGTTTCTTCTTGTTACCTGCCCCAAAGTCGTCTCCGTCTCATCACGACCGGATGAATGAATGCTTTCCAAAATTTCCTGCCTTTGACAGCCCTGCTCAGCTCTTATAATCTCAAGGCTGTGACTTCCTTTATGGAATCAGTACATCTCATAGCTGGTCTTTCTCTTCTATCTCTCTTGCCTTCTCCAGTGATCATACCTTCATGCCCAAAATAAGGTAGCCTCAGTTTTGTCACTTGTTTCCAAGGAAAGTACTGGCTTGATTTGATCCAGGATCCACTTGTTCGCCTTTCTCTCCGAATGCATTCCTTTTCTTCCTATCCTACAACTATCCTACCATAGCCATGGTAGCTGGGGAATGCTGGGATTTGTAAGGTTTTCCCGCCCCATCTAAACATGCACGGGATTACGAGTACACCCTATAGTTTTAAATTCAGTAGTTCTTACACTACCCGAATTGATGGAATCGTGGGATTTGTAATCCCAAATTAAGATTTGAGCTTGTTTACCTCTCCTTCAGAAAAGATAAGATCGTACCAAAATAGTGGTGAGAAAAAACAAGGCACCAGCATGGCAGGGAAGCGAATTGTTGAATAGGGCTTATTCTGGGTGTAGCTACAGAAAACACTCTAGCTATGAAAAGATGAAAAATCCTTGAATATAACAGCCACACTATTTTGATACAGTATCCTTTTTTCCCCACTTCCACCAAATTGGGACAGCCCCTTACAAACAAGATAGAAGATTAAGGAAAGGATCTATCCCTACCATTAGAAACATACATTTAGGGAAGGAATCCTTATAAATCCTTCACATGTGCGCAATGCATTTTTTCTGTCAACAAAATTTTAATAATTTCTACTAGACTAAAATATTAAAGCACAGCACAACTGAAATGATAAAAGCACATTTGGTATGCTACAGTGGGACCACGGTTACCAGCTCAATTGATCCATCTCATACCAGGCTAAACGTAATGCCACTTAAGTGAATTTAGCCGCCCATCTCCAAAACGGGCTAGCTATCGAAGTTATACGGGTGTCTCCCGTTCAATGAGCAATTGCTGGGGCGTAGAGAAAATTAACCAGCGAAAACTGACCAGTTTCCTTACATTGTAAATTCTATTGCCTATATCTATAGGGCTTTTAAAAAAGGAACTTTATTTTAGCCCTGTTTACAATTTAGGAAAATTAGGCTCAAGGGAAATCATTTGCCATGAGAATAAAAGCGCGCTTTTCATTTACATGTAGATATTAACCTGTATTGAGTTGCATTAACGGAGTCTGTCTAGAAGGCGTCGACGTGTCACCGTACTTGGTGTTTCATGCAGTTTCAGAAGGCTACTGCGGAGAAATCAATACTTTTTTCCTATTTAACGCGCCTCACACCGCAGCAGGGCAAGACGCGCCCGCCATTTTCGTTTTAAACCAAGCTGTGTCCTGACGTTCGGACAATATTTCATATCCAGGCAACCCTTTATCTACATCCAACATACTTAAGAGTTTATTCTGTGGTTGCTTCAATTATGTGCTTACTTCTTGATACTGTATTTCGAAAACAAGTACGTAAAATCTCTCTCTCTCTCTCTCTCTCTCTCTCTATATATATATATATATATATATATATATATGGTGGAATGCATAGATATGTGGAATGCTTTCACACTTGTCCAGCGATTTTTAAATGTACCATATCATAGAAACTGCTCACCGAACCCCTTAGAACTATTTTAATTTTATATGAGTAATATATTTTATCAATATGCAGCACCCAATATATAACATTTGCTGTTTTGTCAATGTAAGTAACATTAGAATATTAACCACACACATTTTTTCTCTTTTAGCTGGAAGAGCAATCGTGGGCATATTCAATCAGAGGTCCCACAGCAGTCAACGGGGCTAACTTTCTAGTAATACCTCTACACATGCATATCAACTGTGTATTAAACGTTTCTGATGTATGTGCGGTGTTGGGGAAAGGGGCAGAAAACTTCAACTGTTTATTAGGTCGATTTTGCCGTTTTTACTGAACCAGTATTTGGAATGGCCTCTTTTTCAAAAACCTCACCCTACTGGACCCACAGCTCCATTGCAGTCCCTGAATCCCCTTTCATAGTCCTAAGTTTAATTCAAAACTTGTACCGCCACAGAAAACCTCGATCACGTTCACGAATCCCGGGCTCCTCGTCCCACCAGGGAAGCAGGATCTTTCTTCCATACTCCCCGCCATTCCCCAACGCAGAAGAGGACTAACCAAGTGCGGGCAATCGCACCTACCCGTCGGTTCTCTCTTTCCTTTCCTTCTCGCTAGTTCTTCCCTTCTGTTGCCCGCCTCCCCTGCCGCGTGAATGTATATCGTGTCAGACACCTTTTTAATACTTTCTGTTGCGTGGAATTGCCTGGATGGCTTCATAAATGCAGTGATGACGGCACAATAACCGTAACGTGGCAGATCACCAGCAGCATCTAAAGCTGCTCCGCAGGAAGCTGGTTCACAAGTATGGACGAAATGTTTTGGAGTCTTTGCTTCACAGAAATGTGTGCAAAGGTTTAAAATCATATGAAAGCCTACACCACTCATCTGAATACATTTGAGGTGGTTGCCAGGTGGGACCACTTCATAAACTGCAGCATAGCACACCATCAGGTTTACTAGTCAGTGCAGTTCAAGACAATTATGCACAGCAATTCCTATTAAAAATAACTTTCGATGGGCATTTTGTGATTTAAAAGCAATTGCAGGAGCTGCAATTAATGTATGTTAGGCTGCAATTTTATACACATTTCCTTGAGTCTAAGCCCCATTGACTTCATTAGGGCTCAGTGCTTTACTTCTAAGTAAACATACAGGACTGTATTAAGCTTGCTGTGGAATGGTGAAATCTACTAACTGCTCTCTTTGTCTCCAATACAATAAATACATTATGGATAATAACCAAATGGGTGTTTAGTGGAAAAAAGCAAAAGGTGGGATATAAATCTAATAAATAAAAATCAAAAAGTAGGAAAATCATATATTTTTAAAACAAAACCTGTTGAATCCATTTGTATTTAAGTCCATAGCATCATCACTTTGTTAAAAGCAACTTTCAACTTTACAAATACCTTTGGGACTTCTGATCTGGGGTTAATTTGCATTAGGGGCTCAACCCAACATTTCTTTACGAAGCCTACACTGAGAATATAAGGAAGGCTAGATGGAAGTGTTCCAGAGCATGTGTAGAATGCATTTTTGTAAGCACTGCGACATTATAAAAAGATTCAAGGATTGTCAGAAGTGGTGATTTTCATACTAGCTCTTTTCCACTAAAAATGATCATATATTCTGGGTTTTGCAATAGCATAGCTAGAGGTTAAAAGACACTTTCAGTAAGAAATATAACTGTTAACAAAGTGGGAAAGGGGAATACATAATTAGTTTCAAAATAAGATTTTGCTATTTACTGAGACTCTCATCAATTTGCTACCTCCATTGTGGTTTACTGTGGTCAGGAGGTATCACTCACACATCATCCAGATCCAAACACTTCTGTGTCAGAATATAATAGCAAAGGTCTTTTCTCTGGCTTTTATCAGGATGTTATCATCCAGGAAAATGCTTTTCTACAGATTTCCTGGGATGAAGAGGGTAAATCTGAAGAAATAATAGGTATTCTGGTACAATTTGATCTTGAAATAAAATTTGGCAGATCCTGCTTTAATACATTCTGTGGGATCCTTCAAGCTTCATAATTTGAGGATACCTAGTAAGGACAAATGATAAGTTATCATCTATAGGTTTTAATTTGCAGCCAGGGTGAATCTGGATTTTATTTGTATTATGTTTATTTATTTTAGGTAAGCTGTCCTGAGGCTATGCGATGGGATGGCATACAAAAATTCTAAACAAATAAACAAACAAACAAACTTCCTATTCCTTTTGACCATTACATTCATCAGGAATTAATTCATGATCATCTTGTTTTTGTTACTAACATTCCAACAAGATAATCAGGATAAAGAAGCACTAAATTCTGATAAATTGTTGTGAACCAGATTGTGCACATTAACAACCACTGTTCTTAATCTTTCACATTCACCTCATACATTTTTAAACATACACTCCAATGCCTAAAGAACCATTTTATTAATTACATTTAATGGAATTAGATAAAGTTTGTTGACTGCAGAAGAATCCAAATGTGACAGTTTTGTAAAGGCAGAAAACAGGTCCAGGTTTTAAAAATAAAAATAGTTTGTTTAAAAATTACAGTGTTGAAAGAGATTGTCTTCAGCAGGTGGCATCAACCATTTTCCTCTTTCTTTGTCACAGTTGCTATAAACACATCTTTAAGGATCTCTTTATCCAAGTTCCTACCTATGGACAAGCAAGATGAAAAGGAAAACCTTCTTAATTAATGTACAATATTTTGCATTATTTCATACAATGGACTAACCAGGTGCCTGGCATGTTTGACAGTGATAAAGGGCAAGAATCTCAGTGGGAAAGCATGCTGACTCTCTATCTCCTCCTTCATTTTGTTGCTGTAATTTTCCTAACTCACCTCAATGCAAAAAAGAGAAGTTACACATCCCCATCCTTGTGTTAATGACTGCGGTGACTAGTTCTTTGGAATCACCTCATTTCAAAAGGGGAAGTCGGCTCCTACTACTTTGAGCTATGTTGCAGAAAACATTAACAATTCATTATTGAACAGAAGCTTGATCAAATCTTAGACCAGAACTATTTGTAAATGGGGACAGACCCAAGTCTTTAGGAGCTGGGCTGTCCCAATCACTTATTGGGGCGAGGGGGGATCAATTTAAGAAAAAAAATGATATGTGGATAAGTAGCTTCCTCATTCTCCTTCCTCTTTCCATGCAGCCTTCCCTGCATGTGCTTTTGTCTGAAGCCAGCTTACCCCCAGTATTAGAACCCAAGTGAGGGAAAACTCATGTAGGGCATAATGTGGGGAGGCAAGTCACAACGGGAAGAGTTTGGTATCCTGAGTCCATGTACCCTTTTTGCTCTTTTTAACTGAATTCTCAATCCCTGCTTATATGTGACTGGGGAGTACAGCACATTTAAAGACAGTTTTGCCCACATTTTAGGTCCCCTGGGCCAGAGACCTCAAAGAATGACTTTCCAGCTCATATAATCCACACAAAAATTGAGCCATCAACATATAAAGTATTTATATTATGGTGGCCAACTGTTATTTGATTGAATTTGAGTCTGTGCTAATCTTTTTTCAATTATTTATACAAACAGTGTATATATTTAGAACCATTTAAGAGGAAAAATACATGCCAGTAAAGGGTTAACACTCAGTACTGTTAAAGATGCCCTAATAACTTCATGGAAATAGAATACATTTCAGAACTATTATGCAACTTCCACAGTACTGTATCAAAAACAGTTTTATTAATTATGTTTAAATTCTTTGTAGAATTAGTGATTTTATACAAGATATCTGACATGCATATACCCTTCTTACCTATTAAAACCAATCTGTTCGTTTGTTCATCTTCTTTCCATCTGACAGTGGTTTCCTCTAGATCATACAGCTCATGAACACCTTGAACTATCACCTGGTAAGGTTTATCTTTAATTGACACAAGTCCCTGAGTACAAAGAATATAAATTAACTGGAAAATGAAGGGTTCTATGCATATAACATGACAAGCAATAGTATTACAAATACAAAAAAAAATGAAGAAATTTATTCTACTGTTCTATTTTTTAATTAAAATTAAAGAAAAGGAAAGAATAGCTAAAGCAGGGGTGGGCAGATGCAATTGGTCAGGAGCCATTTTTGCCCCCTATATTCCCTTTGCGTGTGCTGATTTTTAAAAAATTGATATTCACAGTGGCTACATATTATCCACACTGACAAAATTAGCTTGACTACAAGATTAATTTGTCACTCAGTAGCTGTTATGGGAACAGTTCTGCCCACCACAGATTTTGGGGGGTAGAAGGAGCAACATGCGACCTTGGATTGAGTGCAGCTCATGCCTGGGCTAAAACAATAATGACACCAAAACATTTTTTCTGATGCAAGTACAAATCTGTTTCATTATGATAAAACTTAATTATTTACCAACTTAATTTTGGTATAACAGTTTTGACAGTTTGAGAATATATTATGCTCATATAAAAGCATGGGCTCTTGAAAGGGAAAAGAAAGAAAGTAAACACATATATGCAAATGCTCTACTAGCTGAGCATAAGTCAAGCTCAAAAAAGGACTTGTTCTTTTGTTATCATCATGCCATGGAAGCCACCATAGTATCTCCACTTCACACAGCATTTGTTAATATCAGAAGGCTCAGACTTTCTGGGAGAAAACTACAACAAGGGTCCTTCTCTCATTATCACCATCCTGGCTTAGGAGAAGCAATGCGTGAGTGGAGAAGTGTTATGTCATAGATTCTTCCCATAAAGACTGGTGGTTTCTGAAATTACACATAAGGTGTGGGAAAAAACCACACTATATGGGTTCCACCCAGCAAAGCTAAATCTCAGAAGAGAGTCTCAGTGTTCAGATGCCACATTTTTAATGAATGCATCCAAATCAACACATTCCATGTATAATCCTACATTCAGATCTCTCTCTCTCTCTGAGTTCTGCCTATGTCCTTGGAAGGTGAGATTCACAGCATCCTCAGAAGTTATCTGGGGACATACAATTGCTCTCTGATTCAGGTTTGCCTGACATTTACATAGTCACTATTTTGTCCAAGCCTGAAACCATGATTCTGAAAACAAGTTTAGTAAAATTGGAAACTGAACCTTGAGTCTTATGACTTCCATGGGGTTGCCATGTTTGTTTTTCACATTCTTCTCCCACAACAAATTCTGCAAAAGAAAACAGTTTTTAAAAAATGATTCTTGAAAGAAAGTAAAAAGTTATTTAAGATCCTGTTTATAAATTTTCTTGAGCAGAGGGTGTACATGTTCCCTTCCTACACAAATCAAGAAAAAGTGAGCTGAGTCTTCAATACAAAGTATACCTCTTACCTGAACAAACTCATTTAGGTTTTCTTCAGTTGCACTTCCTTGTACTTCAAAGGTGGCTGTAACAATACTCTGAAAACATATATATAAAATTGCTATATTCAACAAGGACAAAATAATGATAAAATATTATATTCCCAATCCATGGCAGTGCACAAAACAAATATAAAATCTATCCATAAATTACACAGAAGAAAAGAAAATGATCAAGCACCACGATATTAACAGACTCAACAATCTCCTTCCCTGAACTGCTTATTCCCAAAACTCAGTAAGGATACACAGCTTCAGAACATGCCCTGATACCATTGTAGCAGATCCATACACTAATTCTTTGTATCAGCTGAAATCCCATGCTAACCCTAACAAGTGAAGTAACTGAGAAACCTTTCAGGTGAGCTGTAAGTAACTGCTCTTCTGTTCTATCCATTTTTGTTTCACTCCATTATACAATACAAAATAAGTGTGGTAACATCAAGCACTACTACTATGCTGACACATTTCCACATGTCATGATGGTACCACTGAATCCCATTCTGATCACTTATTTGCTAGTACAAAACACAACTGTAGCAGTGTATTAAAATGGAAAACAAATTGTTTCCATTTAGTTCATTTATAATTATAAATGCAAAATGTGTTTTGGTCTTTTATCTTTCCCTTTAACACTCCTAAATGCTGTAACAATCTCTAACAAAACAAACAAAAAACCCTCCATTCAGACTGCAAAAGATAAAAATTGTATTTTTTTTTTTTAGTAGTGACGGCTTTGGAATATGTTGATATTAACTTTCATATATGTCATATAACTGTAAGATTTTCAAATGAAAAAACAGATTTTTAAATTGCTGCTTCCTATCTTTTCATTTATTCCACCAGTGCGGTAGCACATACTTCCTTACACAGAATAACTGTCCAAGTGAAGTGATAAATGACAAATCAGATATAAAGACACTGTATGTGTAAGCAGAAACAAACACATGTCTAACAAATCATGTCTAATATGGATTCAGTGCCAGATGCGCAATAAAATAAGTAGCTACCTTATCTAGGTGTGGCTGTGGTACTTCTTCAAGCTGCAGTTTCTGTTGTAAACTTAAAAGTAGAATATATTAAGTAGAAGTTTCTGTCATCATTTATCTCATGAATATAAAATGCATACGAAACCCTGTTTGCAAGGCATTAAGCAGAATGATCAGAAGTAAACTGGTGAATGTAGGGAATAATATAAAGAGGATGCAGAAGTTAATTCAAAGTCATTGGTTAAATGGATTCCCCACAATGGCATCTTTTGCTGTGAAATTTACATAGGGACCTACTGGTTGATTAGTGCCTGTGATGAAACTGGATTTACATAAATGCCCAAGCCTATCCCCAATCTTCTACATTAGATTAAGGTTTGGAGAATTCATCTTCCTTCATAATTATCCATACTTTTTGGTATATTCCTTTCCTAATTATAGTGATGCTATACTGAGATACACCAAAGGTTGCTGGTAGTTTCCAAATGTAGATGTTTAACAGAGGAAAGGACAAAAGCTAAATTCTAAAACAGCATCCATGTGATTCCTATATAAAAGCTAGCATACTGCTGACTGTTTCACTAACCAGCGTAAAATTAAATCTTACCTTTTTCCTGACACGCTATCAAAAGCATGCAGATTTAAGACATCAGAGACATCAACTCTAAAGAAAAAGCAGAATAAGATTCATTTTGCACCTTAAAGCACTTCATGTATGTATCCAAATCATATGAACAGAAGGCTGCTTGCCAGTGGGTTTTTCCTGTCCTCTTCCTTTCCACTGTAGTACCCTGCACTTCCTGAAAAGTCTCTCCTGAGGCTCAGACATGCCTTGGAAATGGCTAGGATGTTGTTTGGGGGCTCCCCTGCAGAATATATAATATTAAAAAGATGGTGCTGCAAACAGGGAAAAAGGAGTTCTGTGGGGCTACTACTTTTTAAATTTATCTGCATGTTTGCAAGAAATTCCTACCAAGAGGAAACATTTTAACACACACATTACTACCATTAACAAATCTGCTGTTTCCTATATGTCCAGCCATGCTGCCTGCTCTCTTCAGTGCACCCAAATACTTGTATTTGATAGAAGAAAAAGCAGCATGAACAAAGAAAGTAGGAGTGAAAAATTAATGTTTCTGCTATCAGAAGCAAAGATCATTGTGAGCTTTGGAGAAACAAACTCCCTTCTCCCATCTCGTACTCTTTAGTAACTGTGAGAAGACAAACTTGCAGATTAACTTATTGCATTTCCCTGAGACGTCAAAATGTAGTGAACTGTGATCTGGCTAAACTATGGTTAGAAAACAAGGCAGGATCCAAAATAACTTTTTGATTCTGGCTTATTTTCAGTTACCACAGTTTAAACAAACCATATATCCCTAAAAGTATGAACATCATGGGGAATTCTCATTAGTTCTAAATGGAAAGTTAAGGCTTCTGAATTCATCTTGAAACATGAGAAGTGGAGAACACATAGGCCCAAAGACGGTTTCAAGGCTTCCTCTGAGTAGCATTAAATCTCTGTTGAGTAGGTGATGGGTCCTGTTTGGAGCAACAGACTCCTTGGGACCAACCATTTGTGCAAAATTATCTGCTGGGACATAATGGCTCATTTATGGATTCTGTGCATTGAAAAACAATTATTCAGCAAGCAACTGCAAACAGCTTTTTGAAAATATTCTGTTTTATGGATACTGTAATGAAATTGTCAGCTCTTAAATTTTAGCACTTTCTACCAACTTCTACTGCTAGGTCTGGATGTTAGCCATTCTAATCAGTGTATTAAGCACACTTTGGCATGTCATGCTGGCAAAATACCTCTGATCAACAACAAAATAGGCAATAAATGTTCAGTGCAAATTACGCTGCATTAAGAGAGGTGTACTACAGTATTTTACATTCCAAACCCCTTTAACAGACTCCTAAAAGCTGGGATGTGAAGTTGTTGCAGCTATTTTAACACATTCCCCTTCCTACCTAAACAAAAGAAAGAATCACAGAGACAGTAATCCATGTAAATTAACATGACAGTCACTACAGAGAAGAATTTTTGTAGAGCAATTGTTTAGCAGCAGGGAATAAGTCTCCAGCATAGAGCACACTGCTAAGGAGAATTTCTAATATGTTCTATCAATGGCTCTTTTAACTGGATTAAAATTTTTGAAATCAAGTATTTGGCTAGTGACCTTTAATAAATTGAAATAGCTGGTGATATTCCTAAGTAGATATAGCAACAGAAAAGTTTGTTTAGCTACATCTGAATGATACTATCGGGTATAATAGAAGCCTCTTACACATGATATTTGATATCCACCTGATTCACTACTATAGAAAAGGTCCAAAGCATATTATTTTGTTTTATTCCTTAAGGGCTGAAGGATGCAAGGAAGAGACCCATACTGCATCTGCAATGCTGTGATATACTTGTATATGATACTAAAGGAAAAATTTCACAGGACAAATCAGATAATAACTACGGGCCATGTGTTACCTTCCTTGGTAACAGAGGCATTTAAGAACAATATATGAGAATGACAGGAAAATGAAAAAACTGGTAATATTTAATTTTGGTTTACATTGTTATTACCTTGATCGGTGAGTTTCTAAAATTTTAACAAGTCCATTTATTGACCTTACAACATTGAAAGAGAGGAAAAAACATAAAGTTAGTATCCATTTGCATGGGGGAGAGAGGGAGAGAGAATGTGAACCACCCTACAACAATTGATTGATTATAGGTTTGGATGTACACAGTATGGTACTTGAAGCAGAACAGCCTCCCTAAATTTGGAAGGACGTTCAAATTATTGAAGAGATAACAAAAATGCCAGCTCCTTGACAACTGCTGTTCCCACTCTGTGGGAATCTGGGTATCATTGGCCTATGGTATCACATTTTCCTGAATTCTTCAACTAGGTGCAATAGGTTTTCCTATCTCTTAAGCTGTGGAAGTGTGGAATTTGAGAGAAAATGGAGAAGCAAAATTATCCCAACTTTATCCAGAAGAGTCTGGAATCTTCTCCATTCTGACAGAATAGATAGCAATGTGGTTCTATGAGACTTCTGGTATCCATTGCCTAATTTCTGGTGTGGAAAACCTGTGAAGTCATACAGTGCTGAGAAAATTAAAGATAGAATACTGGCTACAACAACTGAACAGGGTAATGCATAGGAGCCCTGTGGCTCATCCTACACATTTAACCTTCCAACCAATTCTCTAATTCCCAGCTCCTGCAGCTTCACTCAGTTTCAGATGAAGTCCAGAGCACCATGCTCACTAGGGAGCATCTTCCTACTGTAACTCTAGTGCAAAAGTACAAATGCAATTTCAGTCTTGAGACCCTTGAAATCCAGATCCAAAAGTTGCCTCACCTCTCAGAAAGTAATGAATAGGTTACCCCTGCTCATTGCAAAAGTTATTATAGTGTCCCAGAACTGATGCCTTCCTGGCTTCACCAAGGTGTGGCTGGGATATCACAGGCCTGGAAGCTTCCTTGAAGTGCTTCCGGATCTGTCTTATTCAGTGAATTTTACAGAAGTCCAGATATTGTTATCTTCAATTTATAACCCTCCTATGTTGCCGTACCACCTTATTACTGAGAATGCATTAAGAAAGAAAAGATGTAATAACTGTGCAATGCCTTCCAACTCTTAGTGGTAGGAGTTCTCCACCTGGAAGCACCACTGACGACTGCACCATGAGCCTTGACCTAATTGCAGAAGTCAGGCCTAGACAGAACAGTAGTAAAGTACAGCCTCAGTCCTGGCTGAAATTATGTGGGAGTGGCTCATGAGACACTGAAGGGCAACATTTTATACTTTAAATTGTTCCCAAACATGCTGTTAGAGCCAAGTTTCAACCCTCCATTACAAGGCCACAAATAGACTTATTTCACTTTTAAGCTTCTCAAAGTAACACAAGGAAAGAAAATTTAACCTTAAAATAGTTTATATCTATGTAAGTATTGACACAATGCATAACAATTAAGAGTTATGCAAGTACTACATAAGCCTGTTTGTCACAAGCAACACATCAAACTCATAGCAGATAAATATAGTTCAGCACTCTCGAAACAGAACAGATAACCTTCTTCTTGGGTCCTAACATGTTTTTATGCAGTAATCATATAATCTGCCATTTTAGTTGCTACCAGCCACAGGAAGGAAACAGTAAATATTCAAACAAAAACCCACCAACCACTGTAATTTATTTATGCCTACCTGACAGCTGTTCTCAGTTTCATCAGTGCTTCCTGAGAAACCAAATCAGTCTTATTGATGATTATAAGATCAGCTAGTGCAATCTGTCTATAAAAAAAATGAATGAATAGCTTGATAAAAGCGTAACAACAAATTCTGGATTGTCTATTGGTACAAGCTGGCTCTTTTGATTCATTCATGAAGATGATCTGGACTACAGCTATGTTATGCTGGCTTGTGGAACAAAAAAGTTAACTCCATGTCCTCATAATAAATACATACATTATTATTTTGAAATCCTGTGTCTTAAGACTGTATTCCAAAACATACTTACTAGGGAGTAAAGCCCATTGAACACTATGAGGCTTACTCTCAAGTGGCCATGCTTAGGACTGCACTCTAGATACTTTACAAGGCTACAGGTAGATTTTAAAATGGTAAATCCCATTACTTTAAAGAAAAGGAGAAGCCAAAGAGTCTTACTTTTATCTTTGAACAGACTCAGCGACCAGAACAAAATAATTATCTGCTTTGAACCAGTTTCAAAATTAGTTCCTAATGTGGCATGGCTGCTGAAAGGCTATTATTCCAGGAATATAAATCTAAAACTTCTTTGACCTAATTATGAAGCACATTTATGAATCTCAGCTTGAAAGTAACACAGTGGCTGCATTTAAACATCATGTTCTTGAACCTCAAAATCATGTTTTGGCAAATCAGGAACCAACATTATATTCATACAGTCCCTCTTCTCCTTATATGCTTAACAGAACACCTTCTAGTTTGATCAAACTTTGGTTTGCTTGTACACCCGAAGCAAGAAATTGTGATTTAAGTGAATCTTGCAAACCAGGATTGTAATGATGGTCTGTTCTTGTTTTACAGTTCCGATCTGAGGGACTCACTCAAACCAGCTCACTCAAATCATTGGAAGTGTACTCATTGTATCCAAGGGCATACACGATTACAGTCTCAGATGAGGAAATGAACATCAGCCTGTGTGTGACTGAGGCCACACTATTACTGAGCTGTGTTGGTTCTTAATTGTGAGAAAGGTGCAAGTAGGAGAAAGATGTAAGCTATCATTTTCATCCATTTCCGTAAGAGAAAGCAAAAAATCTAAGGAGCCATCCTTCTTGCCAAAGGCACATATCAATACGATCAGTTATGGTAAGTGCTTAACTTGTGTTTTTGAAAAATATGGGAGACAACATGATGCAATTGTGGCTAGATTATATTCTTACTGTTTTGTGTTCTGTGCTACTTTAGAGTGTTCAGAACAGTTCACATACATTAATTCAGTTATTTTTAGAAAACCCACTAAAGACAATCAGTGCTGTTACCCACCCATTGCCACTGTAGTTGAGGGGGCTGAGAGCAAGCAGAAGTAAAGCATGCTTAATGAGATCATGACTAAAGTGAGGTTTTCAACAGGGACTTCCTAGCTCAGTTTTATTTTATTTTATTTTATTTAAAACGTTTCTATGCCGCCCCCATCGCAACAAAGCCTCGGGGCGGCTCACTATAGTGAGTGGCTAACTATAGTGTAGTTAGCCACTACACTATAACTAGTCATTGTCTTTGAGAATATTTTGGGTATGTGGCTAACATGGATATTTCAGACATGGAGGAATGCTGTTGCCAGTTGCATACAATATGGAGTGGTGAATCAGAAAGAGATAATACAAGAAAATACTTCTAACCCAACAGGATTACTGGAGAAAAACTCGCTCAGCGGAAGCAATCCACAAAACAGATGGAAATAGTGAGCCATTCTTCAAACTGGCAAGTTTCACTTTTTGGTGAAGGCCCTTTTGCAGCACCATGATTCTCACTAACCAAACACCTCAAGATTTAGACACACAGAAAACTGAAATTGTATTGGTACCTCGCTGCTTCATTGATGAGGCCACTGGGTTTTTCTTCTCTCAGGTGCTAAATAAAGGTTTACAAAAAAAGACAATTTAATGGAGAAAATTGCTGATTTGTTTTGTGAATTACATCACTTGGCATTATAGAACCTGTGAATTACATCATGGGGGGCATTATAGAACAAAAGTTCCAGCTTCAGATCTCAAGCAAAGAACTGAACAATGAGTCACAAAAAGAAAACTTGATTATTTGCAACTAAGAATATGCATACAAGGTGATTTATATCTCAACAACTTCATCAGGTACAAACTAGCTAAAGAGACAATATGCACCCTGGAATGAATTGAGTCTCATGTTGTCCAACTTCCATAATTGTTCTCACTGCCTTGCTCAATCTAGAGCCCATGTGATGAATCTTGGACAAGAACACTCATCATTCCTTAGCCAGCATAGAGTCATACTTTCTGGGGATTATAAGCATCGTAGTCTAACACATCTGGAAGGGCTGTGTTAGAATATTCACAGAAATTTGGATCTGTCTCTTAACACTTCAGACATCTTGATTTCAGAGTAAAAATTATGTAGATGCTTTTTGAAAGGAAGACAAAATCCTTCTGTGGATTGTGTATCTCCATAGAAAAATAAAACTGAATATTTTATGGTTTCATAAAGTACTCACCTAAGTAATTTATCTATTTAGTTTTCATTGGCTAATGACTGTTACTCTGAAACTAGATGGGAATTCTGCATGTGCATCAACCCTTAAATAAAAGACATAATTTACTATGTTAATCTCTGGCATTCTAACTGTACAATGGTACTGTCTACAAGGCAGCTGCTATCAGCTAACACTGTTATCCAGATTTAACAATGTAATGTTTTTCCTATTTTGGAACTAAAGAAATAACTTAGGTGCAGAAGACTTGCAGTTTGTGACTGGTCTAGAAGGAACAGATTTATTCTTTTCTTACTCCCTTCAGATATGGCATATGCTTCAATAAAGAATTAGGATTACATATGTAATATAAACATATTTCAACATATGAATGGAAAAATGTTTCAACTAATAGCAGTTGCTAATACTTTCAAATATTACTAAATCCCAGACCAAAAAAAAAAAAAACCCCATATTGAATAATGTCTATTTATTTTCCTAACTTCTTTAGTCAAGATTGTTTTCTGACTAAATTGTTTGAAAATTGTGCAATAACAGGAGGACTAGAAAAGGACCTCTCTTTTGACCTTTTCCTGGTAACTCCACATTCACTGATTCTTTTGCATGAAATGCTGTCAGGCTTTGTGGATCTGCAAAGAACAGCATCACTGGCCTCAGCTGAGGTCCTCAGAATTGTGACCTATCATTGCAAGTTGTCCAATCGTTTGCCTTTTGATTAAAACATGAATATTTCAGACTGCTGGGTGACAATCCCATTCGAGTGATAGTCCATGATATCAATTACCACTTCAGTTTCAATTTGGCTTGCTAGCCACAGGGTACAATTTCTCAGCTATACATGGACTAGGCTGGATCCATGAAGCGTGACACCCCTAAATTGCTGCCTATTATCCAAGTGTCATTGCTTGTATTGCCTCCAGAATTCTTTAAATCACAAGCCCAGGCAGAGGTCAAGCTTTGAAACCAGCGGAATTGGACAAGTTCACAAATTCTCTATACAAAGCAAAAGTTATTTATCTGACATATGACTGAGAAAATTTAAAAGCTGTGATCATACTGACAGCATGTCAAGCCCTGTACACATTTACTGATTCAGTAATGGGAAAGGTTGCATTGAATTTCAAAGAGATTGGACATTATAAATTTATTATTTTAAAAACTTCCTGCAGGTTTTCTTTATCTATTTGCTAACTGAAGAATGTACACCCTCATATCAACAGCAACAGATACATGCTAATACTTTTGTAACTTGATTCAGCAGAATGGCTCTCCTTCATACATCGGCTTGTAAAAATCATTATGTGGAACAGGACAAACCGAACCTTCCATAGTGAACCTAAGAAATAGTGTGACAAATAATGATGTGCCATAATTACTAATATATGAATAAATTCCTTGTTCTTTTTTGTACATCTAAACAAATTGAGTTCTTATGACATTTCAAAAAATACACATGTTCCATCCGCAAAACATGGGAGTAAAGTTGTGATAAAAGAGGAACTCAGCATTGATTAAAATGGGACATAGAATTCCTGGAAAAGGGTCTAAATTGTGGAACTACTTCCACACTGGAAGCCACAGGAACAAATGGCTGGGCTAGGGTGGTGATCAGTGCCTCTTTGTGAGAGGAAATGGTCCCAGTCTGAAGAAGGCAGTAGGGAGACCACTCCTGACTAAATCCTGTCCAGGTTTAGATGATCTCAACAACTTTAGGCCAGCGGTACATGCTTCTTTCCTGGGAAAAGTCTCTGAGCAGGCGGTAGCCCACCAACTCCAGGCACTCTTTGATGAGACTGCTCACTTGGATTCCTTTCCAGTCTTGGGCATGGAAACAGCTTTGGTCATTCTGAATAATGACCTGTGATTCTGCTGATATTCCAGAATCCCTTAGAGGTTTTCAATACCTGACCATAGTATCCTTCTTGGGTAACAGTCTTAACTGGGAGTGGGGGTAGTACTTGAATGGAGAAGGAGAACATGGTGCTTGGAGAATACTGCTTAGCATCATGGATTCTCCAGCATGGGACACCTCAAGGATCGATTCTGTCTACCCATGCTATTCAACATCCATGTAAAAATGCTGAGTGGGGTCATCTAGAGTTTTGGAGACTGCGGCCATCAATGCATGGATGACACATATCTCTACTTTTCTTTCTCATTCCCATCAGATGAAGCTGTGAATGCATTAAACCAGTGCCTGTCTGCAACAATGGACTGAATGAGGGCTAACAAACTGAAGCTCAATCCAGGCAAGACTGAGATGCTGTTGGTGGATGGTCTATCTAACCAGATGGAAGGTGTCCAGCCTATTCTGGATAGGGTTGCACTCCTCTTGAAGGAGGCGGATCATAGCTTGGGGGTCCTCCTAATCATCTTCTGTCACTTCAGACTCTAGTCTTTTCAGTGGCACGGAATGCCTTCTACCAGTTTCAGCTGGTGGTACAACTAGGCCCCTATCTAAGCAAGTATGATGCAGTTTCAGTAATCTACCATCTAACTGTGGCAGGCAGATTAATAACAAAGACAAGAAGGGCTGAATATATTAAATCAATTCTAGTCCACTTGCAAAGGTTGTCTATATCCTTCTGAGTCTGGTGCAAGGTGCAGCTTTTAACCGATAAAATCTTATGCAGCTTGGGAATGCAATCATTACAGGAGCACATCTCCCATACTGGATCTATCCAGTCACTAGGATCAGCATCAGAGGCCTTCCTCTAAGTGCTACCTCTGAAGGAGGCTTAGAGGGCACCAACAAGGTTGAAGGCCTTCTAAGTGACAGCTCACCAGCTGTAGAATGATCTCACTCTATGCCTAGAGCCACTCCGCCATCTTTTTGGATTCAAGTTAAGATAGCTTGCCATGCCAAGGAAGTTAAAAACATCCAACATTTTTAACAGGTTTACTCTAATTCAAATAATGTTCTAGCTGCTAAATTGTTTTAAAGCTGTATTTTGGCGAACTTTTATGAAGTTTTTTATAGTCCTGTTAAATGTTGTAGAATAGCCAGAGTACATCAATCATAGGGTAGTATCAAAATGAAATACATACATACATAAATAGCCTTAAAATATGACATACTCCTTGAGCAATACCTATGGTGAAATTAGTTCAGTGTCAAGAAATTATATGTTCATATGATGCATGTTACCAAAGCAGTTGGGTTGTCTACAACAGGGCAGGTAGCTTTAACTTTCCATGAATTTAACATTTCTAAAAATGAGCTACCTGAAGCAGTACTTGCAGGGGAAAGTTATTAGCTCCACAGCTACCGTCTGACATGGTGAGTAAAGTCTAAGCAAACAAGGCCATCAGTAATAACGATTCAGCATCCAGATGTCCTACCACTTTGTTACCCCTTTCTTGGACAATCCAAGTGAAACTAAATATCATTCACATGCTACTGAGTATAAAAATGCTAAAGAAAAGGGCCCTTCCTAGCATTTCCTCAGGTCTTCTCCAGATAATTGATTTCTCTATATGTATAAAAAGCAGTATTCCATTCTGCTTCAGTGGGACCATAGAATAAAACTGAGGATAGGGCTATGCAGTTAGGTGCAGGCATGGTTCTTAATGGCTGGGGTCCTCAGAAGCTGGTTTAGCTCTTAACCCAAAATAACTTCCTTATGAATTCTTGAATATACAACAGGGAACTGAGCCTCAGGACCAGGAGCTAAATCTGGTCCTAATCCAGACCCCCAATCCAGAGACCCACACCCCAATTCTTCAATGCTAAGTGGTTCCTGCCCTGACTCCCTTACCTCATTGATTGTGATTCCTTGGCTTTTGAAGAAACGCCTCTCTGAAGACTTCGTTACTAGCAGGAAAAGCTTTAAGCTAAACTATGCCAGTCCTTTTTGCCCTGCTCCTTTTGCCCTGCCCACTTCTAGAATACAGCTCCCAAGATCTACTCTGAAATTGGCTTTGGCCCTTGAGTTCAAAGTGGTTCTGCATCTCCGATATAAAAGATGGATTGGTATTCACTCCTACAGGGAAAATCAAAGTGCTGTTCTGAGAAATAATACTGCAGTGAAAGCTACAGACACAGATGAATCAGCCCTCACTGAAAGTTCAACAGCCATTTTCTGCACATACACCAATTTGACATTTTTTCTAGTTATAAGATGAACAAGCTACTAATGGGCTTGCAATTCAAGACAGCTAGTGCATCCTCCAGTTACAGTGTCTGTTAATGGGAAGTCATATTACTCCAAAATTGAAAGTGCAATATTTATTACTGAACAATGTAAGATGAAAACTGAGACTGTACAAGTCTGAGAACTAAGGATCAGACATTTTATTTTTGTTAGTAAGTCCTGGAAGAAAACAGCTCAGAACACAGTGACTGATCCCTCTAAAATGGAAGCCATAAGCAAAGTCCTCACCTAGGTGGATGTGGATATTTTACTTCCAAGCTAGACTCAGATATAATTAAGCCCTCAAATATTAGAAAAGGAACAAGCACCACAGTCTTCTTTATTTATAGGCATATTATTCACTTAATTACTATAGACATTATTTTACCTGGAGTCCATACTTTGCATCAATAACAGATACAATACCTGCAAAAGAAGTTTGTAGATAAGAATTTGGATATGAAGAGTCCTAATACAAAACACATAGCAGCCCTGTATTTTTAAGTACGATGTTAAAAAAAAGCCACCAGCACTCTATAGTCTCCAGTAGCTTTACTCAGATTCACTAATATAATTTGAAATCAGTAGCACATATTATGCTCAATATTTTATTGAATCCATGGTGCACAGACATACTTAATAAATTGGAGTACTTTTCTTACCATCAAGATAAATGTCACTTCCTAATTCAGCATCAACCCAAAACATGGAGGCAACTGCACCTAGCAAAACAAAAACAAAAAACCCAGGATACATACATGGACTAAGCAGGTTTTCAGAACTAGCTGCAGAATTTTTTGCCTTCCTGAAAAGAGAAGCGAGAGAGAGAAAGAGTTCCACTGGCTTGGATCCATCTTCATCCTTATACCAGTAGAATAGAAGCTGCTGGCAGACTGGGACTTCTCCATTCAGACAGTCTACAGTAAATCCGGGGTCATCTGAGGGCTGTGGGAAGAATGAGAGGACGGGGAATTCCCATTCTGCTGGCAGAGGTACAAAACTGGATCCAAGCCTGGATGACTCTATTTAAGCCTATTTGCAATGTTTATTTGCTATGCAACTGAAACACATGCAACATGTATTTGACTTGCACTGTCTTTATCTAAAGCATCTGGACAGTGGCATAAGCACTGTGTTACTGCAAATAAAACAGCATCTAGGTAAAATAGGGAAGGTTTTTGATCAGCTAACTTCACTTTTTAAAATGTGCCTTGATAAAGTCACCATGACTTAGCTATTCCAAATGTCTTTGTGAACTGTGTCTGCTGTACATGAACTGTCTGCTCCTTTCCCCAACATTTCAAATAATGTTCAAGGCCATCTTACACACATCTTAGAAATTAGACTGATGGAAAAGGGCATGCTTCCAAGCAGACACACTGCCATTATGGACTGGTAATGTTTGAAAGATCATAGATTAAACCATTCGATTGATTACAAGAGTTTTACAAATCTCATTCTACTCAGACACTAAGATCTGAGGCCTTCCTACAGATACTAATTCTGAAGGATGCCTTGACAGAGGCAACAAGGATGACAGCCTTCTCAGGGGTGCCCACCCAATTTCACTGAGGCCTACTCTGAGCCAACATTGTCCTTGTTTCAACACCAGGTTAAGACTGCCCTCTACTTCCAAGCATTTAACAGCATATGATGTTATTTCTTTTAAAAGGTCCGATTGCTTTAAATTGATTTAAATTTTGGAATTTTGCACTGTATTTTATTGAATTTGTATTTTTACTGTTATGATTATTATTTGTTGTGTACTACCAGAGAGCATTGACTATTGGCTAGTACAGAAATTAAATTACATAAAGAATTTAATTCCTCCCAATGATATGAACACCAAACATTAATTGGAAATACTCTCAAACAACATAAAAGGGCATATATAAAATCACATTATAAACACAAAAGATGAAAGACATTATATTCCCTGAAGATTAACAGTGCCTTATATACAGTAGGTTGCTTTTTTCCCTTTAGGTAACCTGAAAAACATGAAATAGGACCTGTAGCACCACTCATCTTTTTTGTGTCTGGAAAAGTGTGAACAGGGTAACATTTATTACAGAAGAGTAATGAAAATTGTGAAGCTTCTTAAGGATGTTATATTTTGAAAAATAAGTAATCAATTTTTTTTTGACATGAGCCAATTCAACATGCACACATGCTACAATGTGAAGGATGCAAGAAACTGACAGCAGCGAATGTATTTTATTTTTCAAAAGCTCACAAATCTAGCTGATGTCAGGGCTGTCCGAAAAAATGAAGCAAAGCAGCAAAAACAATGATAGTTAAAGCCATTCCAGTGTCTGAAACTGTCCACCTGAACTGACAAGATGTGGTCTCCCAAGCATCACTGGGTGTCAGAACTGAAATACCTGTCAGCTGTTTACAGTGATTACTCAAGCACGATATAGCAGGGGCCATGGCACATAATGGCTTCCAGGTTATCTATTGATTTCCCCCGCAAATGCCTTAATAGTTTTTCAACTTAACTGAAATCAGATTTGTGTATAACAGGAGCTGAATCAATGTCCCTTCTTTTAAGAAAATTACTTTACCATGACAATTATTTAGCTTTGAACTGGAAAGTGTCAGTCTTCTTAAGAGGAAACAACAGAATTGCCAAAAGGATTTTTATTCACCTCTTAGCTGACAGCTAGGAGGTTTAATTAAAAGGGTCCAGATAATATTTTAGACAGATTTATTCATTATTACTGTTTTATTTTTTGCTATAAATATTCACTGAAAAAATGAATATTTTGCAATGAATTGTTATTGCTAGACTAAAAAAACCCCCCAAACCTCCAAAAGCAAGAAAAGCCTTTACGGTATTCAACAGTATTATACTTACATGGATTTTATTTCACTGCAGTTCTTAAGGGAGCAAATTAAATCTGATGCACTCCACCTATAACTTTTAAGGGCTCTACATACACTGGAAGCTGCTCTATGCAAAATACAAGATGTAGTCTAATCCTAAGCACTGTTTCTCAGAAGTAAGCCCCGCTATGCTGAAAAAGATTTACTTTGCAATAAGCAAGCTACCGTCATAAGCATAAGTTGCCTACAGTGCCTACCAAGTGAAATTTGTTTGTGAAGTACAAAAACCCTCCAACACTCATAAATATAAGACATAAAAGGGAATTTAACCCAGCTCTCACGCTCATGAACACTTTATAGCTGCCATGTCCTGTGACAGAAACTCCAACCCATGTTGCTGGGGATTGTGAATCATGTAAACATTATAAATAAAACTAATGCATTCCCTTTCTCTTTCCACATCTCCCGCCCCACTGGCATCCAGTTAGGAGAGAAAGTCATAGCTACTTCTCTGTGGCCACATGGATTATAAATATACTCCCCAGCAACATGTGACCACATCATCAAACAGCGGACCACACAGAGGCAGGTGTGTTTGAAGAGGACTTAACTGTGCTGGAAAGGCTTTCTTCTAGCACTCATGCTCTTTGTCTTTATAGAGAGAGAAAAAGCAAGCACTAGCCATGGCATATTAATCTCTTAAAGAATTAATGAATAAGATTTGTTTATTCCATTTCTGTTGCCCCACCAACCCCCAACCCCCACTTTTACATTGTACATCAGAACATTTCTACTGTAGGATACAACAAGAGCAAGCTATTAAGATAGACCATAATTGATCAGTCTCAAGAAAAGTTTCCAAAAAAGACGATGAAGCTGTAAAGGTTACAGCTGTTACAGTCATATTGATCCATAATCCATGTTAAACATATTTATTATTGAAGGATAAATGATAACAGAGCTTAAAGCAGGAATGGAATAAGCAATCAGAATTCCCATTCAGCTGAAGATTGTCACTTGAGTATCTGAATCTGAAGGTACAATGGATCTCAAGTTATGTCTTACCCAATAAAAACATCTGTTTTGTGCTTATTAGATGACTTTTTTAATAAGGGGTCTCTAAGTCAGCTAACTGCTAGTGTAATACTGCTAATGCTTTCTTAATTATGTTTTTGCAATGTCCAGTAGTCACATCTTCTTGGGAGAAGGTTATATAATGGATAACCTTTATACTGGAACAGTATAATATTTACTGATGGTTATGTTCTTTTATATTATCTGCCTTCTTCCTGGAAGCCAGTCTATGGTCAACAGAAAAGGATTTCACATGCCCTTTTAACAGCTAAAAAGCTAATATTACATATATTATAAATATAAATGTTCACTTCCTATAATGCAATAGATTGAGGACATAAATGCTTTCAACATTTGAACAGTTGGCATATAAACACCAGGAGAGAGAGAGAGAGAGAGCGCGCGCGCGAGCGAGCGAGCGCACACACACGTGCGCAAGCAGGGGCAATCTGATCTGCATTTGTTGAAGAAAAAAGAAAACATAAGAAATGATATTGATTTGCATGCATAATATATTGATATAGTATAAATATATAAATTGTTGTACAAATTTCTTTTTCCTTTCGTGGCTCTGTTTTTATTCAAACATAATCAATCAATCAAAAGAAATCTGAAGTAAGCATAGGGCTTACAGTATTTGCTGCATTCTCAGTAACGTTTAATACATTTGTTTAATTCTCTGATGCCACTGAATCCACTCTTTAAGTAGTTTTTACTCCAAACAGACTCAGGTCCACCTTACAATAAAGAAATTGAGCCCTGCAGGTGCTTGCTGGGGCTCTGAGGCCTTGGGGGTGAATTTAAATACACATTTCCTTAAATTATATTTTGTGGGGGAAACAGTTAACATAAGCCTGATTTGCATGATCATGGCAGCCCACTGAGGCTTATTAGTCATGGTGAGCTGCAGTGCCCATGAGCACCAGGCTAACAATCTAAGCCATCAACACTTCCACTTCTCATTATGTGCAAAACCAGAAAGCGTGCTTTTCAGGAGTAGCTGACAAGCCATCCAGAAGACATGTGCCATTTTGGGTTGTGGACAGTTTGTTAACCACCCCAACAAACCACTCCTGCAAGATGGACACACAAGAAGCTATGGCAGGCCTTTGCAGTGCCCTGAATATTTAGAATGGTGACTACCACCACCATTAGAAGCTCTGTGGGAAAACTGGCTTTCCTTCTGTCTTTGTTAACTAGTACTTTTAATGGCTACTATTATTTTTACTGCTCGAGCTGTGCTGACATTTTTCTTTCACCTCAAAAAGGATTCACAGTTAGACAAAAAACAACTATATTATATTAAATAATTAGAACAGATTTCATCCAGATATATCAGGTTTACAAAAGGCTCTTATTAGTATTTCCTTCTCACACAATGCCTTGAGGCAGCTTTGATTTACCTGGTCAGAAAGGCTGTACTTTAATCAGGGTATCTCACACAACATCTACCATGCACTCCCAGCACTGTGCAGTGTTAGATTTGCACTACCCTAGGTGATAGTGGCTACATTATGCCTTCCTACTCTCGCAGGCTCTGCCACCATCTTTAACAGCTACTCTGTCAGTGAGGCAAACTTGTATACTTTGGCTGTTTTAGCTTCATGACAACACATCCCTCTTGTTCTTATACCCCCGGTGTATACATAGCATAAACTGTATTACAGTGAAATGAAACAGTGGATTTCCATCCAAACATTTCTCATCTTTCCAAACAATTCCATTCTGCTACGCAATATTCTTGTGACAATGTCACACAAACCGTACCTACCTGGGTCTGCCAATCCTGTTGTCTCTAACAAAATGTAGTCAAATTTGCCTTTCTTCTGCATGAGGTTCTCAATAGCCTTCAAGCCATTGTCCCTTTATGAAAAGAGAAACATGATTAAGGAACAAACATAGTTGCATTTATTTATTTATAGACGTGTCACTTTCTAAATGAAAACTGAATCCCATCCTTAAGAGCTCCCCTTAGAAGGAAGCTTCCAGTTGAGGAGGCTTCTGTGTATCTTCTGCTCTGTTAGGCTGCTGCCAGGAGCATGGGAGGCACAACGGAGATGATTTTTACCTCCCCATCTTCCATTTAAATTGATTTCCTCTAGATGGACCCTTGAGCATCTAGAGAGGGCATGCTGGTAGGGACCGGAGAAGCTCATGTCCTGGCATACCTTCTCCCCTCCCTGCCATTCACCAGGACATCCCATTTTTCTTTCCTCCAACACTACATTTGTGACTTCATCAAGCAGCCAGAGTTATTTGTGGTGGCTGCAAAGGAAGCAGGGGAGGGGCACTGGATTCAGAGCTAGCCTCCAACCCAGGCTGTTGCACTGTCTATGGCCTCAGGAGGTAGAATCTGGACAATTCTATGGTCCTTCAGATGCTCTCTCAGGGACTGTAAGATTGCTACTTAGTAGCAAGAAATTTACACATTAATGTTTGCATTTTCCTAAGCCCCCTAATACCTTGCTTCTGTAATTATGGTTAAACAACCCATCCTAAGTTTACAAGTTTGTTGCCCAAATTTCAGTACACCTAGTGTTCTCTTGCATCTTTGTAAGAGCAGGTAATTGTTCCAATATGGTTCCTTTCATTACTGGCCCATACTGATACTGAGGCAATTTAGAACACCTTGCTTCCAACACACTTTTCAAAAAAGGTTCATTAAGTCAACCCATGAGTCATTTGCTAAGTCTTACAATATGAAAACTGAATGCAAAATCAAGGTTCTTGGTTTAATAAATATTTAATATTCTAATCCTTTTGTCCCAGCTGGTTCCTGCCACAAGAGAACTACTTAAGAACTATGAAGCAATCAGGCAGAAAGCTGAAGAATACACAAATTAGACATAAAAGAGCCAATTTTATGACATTTTAAAAATTCCCTTACTTTACAGAACAACATAGGCAACCATTTCTGAGCTCCAACCATTCTTCATAGAGTTCTCCACCTTGACTTACAGCTAAGGATTTTTCCAAGGCACTTCCTGAAAATATAGGAAAAACATTTTTGTAAAAAATTTGGGACACAGTTCTATGCATACTTAATACAGGAAAAAGGCATACAACTCCCAGCATTTCTCAGCTATTTTGTTTGCCTAAACATGCATACGACCTTACCTTTAATTAACAAAAAAAAAATTCTCAGTAAAAGATATGCCTAGATCAGGTTGCTCATCCTGTGCTCATACAGTCCAAGCTTGTTACTTTATATGCAAGAGAATGCCCTGCTTCACCAACTAACTGCAGAGTATGACTGAAAATATCCTAGCCTAAGTCCAAATCAAACTCTATTGTATATAGGCTGATAATATTTCAGCCACCTTTCATATTTCACTTTTGTGGCATAGTGGTTAGAGTGCTGGACTGAAACTCAATGGATCCAGGCTCTACTCTTCATTTGGTCATGACTTACTGGGTGACCCTGAGCCAGTAACTGACTCTCAGCCTTAGAGGGTTTTTGTAAAGATTTAAAAAATAGAGAAGTGGAACAGGATTAGGGATGGCGCTTTGAGTTCCTGGCAGGAAAAAAAAGATAGAAAGAAATAAACAGACAAAAGGGAGAGAGTAAAAGCAAGAGGAAAATCTTTGCAACAATCTCCTTTTCCAAACTTCTTTCTTAAACTTAACAAAGACCGTGGATTGGTGTGATATAAATGAAGATATGACAAACATTTTTTTTCAAATGAAATAATCCAAGATAGATCCAATTTTTCTTAGCAATTTTTCATAGAAAGTATTGTATAACAATGCCACTCTGGCTAGGCAAACAGTTGTAAAAAGAACTGTTGCAGTTATCCATCAGAAGAGGAGTTGCCTCCAGTGGCTACTGAAGTGGGGTAGGGGTAGAAAACCTCACTTGGATTACCTATGACTCTGCCGTATTCTATGGTTCCACAGACACTATCACAAGTAGCACAGGATTGCTCTGTCAGGCTTTCATATAAAAAATTCTTTTTTGTTTTATGCATATTTGTAGCTTTACATACCTTCCCCAAATTCATTTAGAATAACCGCTATCCTCTTGTTATGCTGTTCTGACAAAATATAATTAAGGAGAGTAGTTTTCCCAGCACCTAAAAACAAAATAAACTTTATTATGCTAAAGGGGAAAAAGCTTTTCTTATTATTTAGAGATAAAAATATACTTTCAAAGAATATTTTAAGGAAATTGATGATTAATGGCTATAAAAATAATTTTAGTTTCTGATGCTTTCCAAAAATATGGCTATGCCATCTTAATTTTTCATCAACAGAAAAAACAGATTGCACCAACTCAGTTTCAAAGTCAATTGTACTCCAAGTTGTACAAGTAAAATAACTATGGTGCCATTCACAAATAAATAATAATTTATTTACTAAGAATTTTCCAGGAATTTTTACGTGGGGTCCAAATGACTCTTCAGTTTTTAAGACATGAAACAAAAATATTGCAGCCATTACCATAATTATATTAATGCAAAGGCAGATGTGCTGGACATAAAAAATCCAAAATCCATATTAGTGTAATACCTTTATTATGCAAGCGTGTGAAGGAAGGGCTGAGGAATAGGAAACAAAAGAGAACATAATACTGAGCTCATGATATGTAAGGCAAAGCAGCATCTGCACCTTGCTGTCATGGGATCCTTGAGGACTCCTTGCTCCAATGCTTTAGCTCTATGCCGAGGTTCAAAACCAGAGAATCAGAACTGTGCTGGCCTGCCCTAACTTGACACTTTCACCTTGGATTTCATATTTATATAGGAAACTACATGTATGGAGAATGGGGCATGTTTGTCCCTGTGCAATGTTAGGACCTTTATGCAGTACTAGGTGTGCACTGTACAGTCTTATGTACAGATATGGGAAAGACTGCTGCAGTTTTGATTCCCCATCTCACATAGGATTTCAGCACCTGCATAAGACTCCTCCTTTTTCTTCTACTTCCAGAGGCAGACATGAACATGCTTGAGCTCTCTCTCTCTCTCTCTCTCAAATTGGATTCCTGCACTAAGCAGGGGGGTTGGACTTAATTGTTTAAATGATTCCTTATAGCATCCCACCCAGTCACAGTATGTAAGAATCAAATTCATAGTGCACAATGCATTTTTAAACAGACTTTAAGCTCCTTCTGTATAAGAGAGGACAGCAAAATTCACACATTTTATATAGTCTACATGCAAGACAAAAGAAATATAATGAATCCTTGAGGTAAGCTAAGCCAACAAAAACAAAGCAAAACTCCATGTAATATTAGGAACACTTCATTCTGATGCCCCACAGTGAAATTCAACATTTGACAGACAGCTTATTACCTAAATATCCTGTGATAATAGTAACAGGAATCTTAGAAGTCTTGCTAGATGGAATGTGGCCTCCTTCACGGTCATGCATTTCTGATCCCCTTATTGGAATCAACTCAGGGCAATCTTCCTCCTCCTCCACAGAAGACCCTTCCATCTTTTCCATCTATAAACACCTGTCAATGCAAACATGATTTCTAGAGGAACAGCCATGTTTGTCTCTTGTGGCAAAAACCACAAAGGCATGTGGCACAATGAAACTAACAAATTTATTCCAGCATAATCTTTTGTGGATGACATGTGAGAGGCCTTGTTCTGGATTTAAAGAAAAACAGGGAACAAGATAAGAAAAAAAAAAAAAGACTACTTCACAAGCACATATGATGTGTCCTCTTTTTACTCATCATACTGCAGTATTACTAGTTTCTAAAAAAGCTGGTTTCCCAACATTCCTCCATGATAAAGCATCAGATGCTCAGGGCCACTCAGATAGGAGCAGGCCTGTTTCTCAGTACTGTATTTTTCAATAACTGGATCAATAGGAATAGCTCCCCTTTACCTTTTTCTATATTACTGAATGGCTGTCATCCACTCATATGAGGAGTCAAGTATTGTATTAGAGCATTTCATTGCAATTACAGACAAAAGTAGACCTTTCTAGCATTGAGAGATCCCACCACTGTGGGATGTTCTGTCTCTACACACACCAAGAGGACACCCAAAGGTCTGGTTTCCCAACAGATGCTGTACACTGATTATAGTCAAAATATGGACTGGTTTCCCAACAGATGCTATATATTGATTAACCACTGCATGCTAAGTATGAACCCTGCAGGTTAGCTTTACCCACATGCAGAGTTAAAAAGCAAAGATCTAGCCCCAGCAGTCTTGGGTCCAATTGGCAAGGATAGCTGTAGCCAAGTCATTCCTTGGTTTTTCAGCAGGTGTGTCCGAAACTGCGAACGAGGAAGCCGGCTATTTCCTCACGGTGTTTCCCTTGTGTGAGAAACTTCCCAAAATAACTTCTGTGTGGGAAAGAGAAAAATATTTCTGAAGCACTATATGGATCTAGCACGACCTCCCGCAGCCTGGTTACCCTCCAATGATCGACAAGAACTCCAATAATGCTCCAGCTGATGCGATTTGTACTCCAACACAGCTGGGGACACCAGAGAAGGGAGAGCTGCCCTAAATGTACTATTCCAAGATTACAGAGCTACGCATACTTATTGCACTAAGTCCTATCGAACTCAGAACTTACTTCCGAGTAAACATACATTAGGATCGGGTTGCAAATTATGCACACGTGGTGTAGCTGTCAAGATAGTGAGGTTTGCACATTTATTCCTCCACCCCTTAATTGCTAGCAGCACTTACTAGTCCCCCTTCCTTCTACCCGTCGTATCACCTTCCGCTCTCCAGCTCCTCCTCCTCATCTTGCAACTTCCTACCTAAGCGCGCACGCGTGCCTAAGCCTCCTCCTCCGTGGTTTATTGGCGTGTGTCCGTCCTTCCCCCGGTTTACCGAAGAGCAGATATTTTACACTTTCCGGCTCCGACAACAACACGTCTCTCCGATGGATTGTTCCGCCTTCAGTTATGTCATACGAAACGTCATACTCGATGCGGAAACAGAGAGGCGGTGTCTTTCAGTGATGGGCCGGTGTGAGGAATTTATTTGATTGACAGACACGTTAAGGAGATAAAGGGAAGTGGGCAGGCGAGGGGTGACTGCAAGTAGCCTGTTCATCGTCGCTGATAGTTTCTATCACATTAAGATAGGACTGCTTCATATAAAGTCAAGCATGCACAAAGGCTGCCGTGGTCGCTATAAGAAAAATCCCCAAATCCATATAATGTAATATTTTGTTAGATCATCTGAAAGATTACAAAAGCTGTGCAAGCTTTTGAGATTTCCCAAATCACTTCATTAGGCAAGATACTTCCAAAAGCAGGTTAGTGTGGGAGGGGTACAGTAGGATATAGGAGAAAATAAAATACCAATTGGATGTTGTAGTGAGGTCGATAGGAGGAGGAGGAGGGTTTGTTTTCTGTCTTCAGTGCTTGTTGGCCCACTGGAAGTGAAAAGCTAGCAGACAACGGTTGATCCTCCATTGTGGAAGATAGAAAATGCAGGTATGAACTCAAAATTCTCCCATCTTGGACAAACCAGCCAGCTTCATTGGTTAGTAGAAAACAGAATTAGCATCACTCAAAAAATGAGTATGTGGGCCACAGAAGATTAGGGGCTTTCTCCTCTTGTTTCCCAAGAAAGTAATAACAGTGGAGCAGCCAATGGATTATCAATTTATTAGATTTGCCTATTAAATTTTAATACATTTTGTACCTCAAATTATATCAGAAAGTACTAGTTTTATTTGTAATGCATGTTGGAAGTGGGTCAAAACACTAGTGCCCCATCTCCAAAACTTTCTCACTATGACTATGCTGTGAATGTAGCATCTGTGTTACTACGTAAGCAAACAAAAATAGGTCTCCCCTTAAATCTTACTAGCTCAAATCAGTGAAAAGCATGTCACAGGGAAGGAAGAGATAAAGGTAGCAGGCACAATATGAGCAGTATATTAGATTCATTCATTCATTGAAATGTAATAAAATAGGCTTAAACTTGGTTATTAGAGCTGGGGTGAGATTTAAGGGGTTAAGTCTAAGTCTTCATGGAAAATACGGGTTTTAAGGGGCTCGAAGGAAGAAAACTAGCTTTGTGAAAAAGATCCTGAGTTCCTCTTAAAAATAGCACACCTAAAAGCTTTTCCTCATGAGGCCTCCAAATATTTGTAGTAAATAACATATACAGTTGCCAGCTCTCAGCTGGCTGCAGCTGGGAGTTAGGCTGAAGAAAAACAAGCTTGCAGGTTATGCTGAGAGTGACAGTAATACTGGATTTCTTGGAGTTCTTCTGCGAGAAAAATGTGAAGACCCCCTTCAAAGTTTAAAGCAGTCTTCCCAATCTGGCACCTGTTGGCATGACTGGCTTGAGTTGATAGGAGTTGTTCTGGAGGGTGTTGGAAAAGGTTAGTTTAAAGGATCATGATGGGGGGAATTGACTTCAGAGTAGGACCACTGCGCCACCTACATCCCTTTTCAGAGTAGGACAAAGCTCTCCATATCTAATCCCATGCTGCTTCAGTGACTTCAAGTCCATGCTTTTTCATCCCTGCAGCAGCCTGTATTTCCCCAGCCAGGCACTTTTGGTTGGAGCAGAAGGGTCCATTGTCTCCAGAGCTTTATCCATGAGCCAGCTTGGGGAGACCTGTGCAGCCTTTCTGCTTAGGCTAAAGGCTTCCTAACCCAAGCAAAGCTGTCTCCAAAGACAGCCAGGTAGGGTCAGGCACACCAGGGAGGAGAGATACATATGAAAGCAGACACCCATTAGTATATCATTTACTAGAAGAAAGTAGTAAATTAGAATCACCTGTTAGGACTGAGTGGATCCACATCAACACACATTGAAAACATTTCATCCTTTTTGTCCTGCCCCTGTATTTCTGTGAGCAAAAGAAGCCCACAGGCCCACATATTGAAAATTATCTAAGGTAATTAATTTACAGCAGGGGTCCTCAAACTTTTTCAATAGAGGGCCAGTTGAAAGGTGGCGGCTACATGCGTGGGCTGGTGAGGGGGGTCTGGGCACACGGGCTGGTGAGGTGTCATTCGGTGCATGTGAGGTGGCATTGGGTGTGCCTGGTGGTGGATCACTCGCTTGGAGATCTCCCAGCAAATACAAAACCATCTCCAAGCAAGCAAGCCACCACCTCCCTGCCCGCACTGCAAACCAGTGGCGAGCGCGTGTGCATGGGGGAGGCAGATGGCGGCTTGCTCACTCGGAGATGGTTTTGAACTCACTGGGAGAACTCCCAACGAGTCCAAAACCATCTCCGAGTGAGCAAGCCACCGCCTCCAGCCCGTGCAGTGAGCACATGGGCGGGCGGAGGGCAGCGGCACGGTTGGCTGAATGGGCATGGCGGGCCAGATCCATCCCGCGAACCGTAGTTTGAGGACCCATGATTTACGGTAACATCTAAGAGGCATGTATTGTTAAAAAGTAGGAAAATATACAACCATACAGGCTTATATACATTCTCATTCTCTCTCTCTCTGTATAATACATACTATAGCCGAACAGTGCTTGACTATTCTTAATGTTAATAGTATGTAACTTAAATAGTACCCTGTACGCCTAGTAAAAATAGTATATAATAGTACTTTCTTACTGTAGGGACTTTGACTGGCTTCTCTTAAAATACAGTATTCTGAGCTCAAAAGCTCAGATTCTGAAGATGAGCTAGTCAAAGAAGAAAAGAGGTTGGAATGTCTTACTGAAATACCAAAGTTAATGAGCAAGATTAACCAAGTGGCTGGTGAAAACCAGACCACTTCCAGGTTGTGGGGAGATATTATAGCACAAGGAGAGTCAGAGGAGGAATCTCCCTGAGGGTGTAGTTAGCACCTGTTGGAAGAAAAGGGAGGAAGGGGGATTCATCTTGACTACAACTCTTGACATGGGCAAGAGTGGATTCCACCAGCCAGAAAGATCACTACTTTGATGCATGCTACTTGTTAACTTTATTTTTATTCACTTTGCATCACATAGCCAACCTAGCACAATAAAGGACTGTATTTTAGAATTTAATATTGCCTTTATTTGCTAGAAAGAGAAAAGTAAAGAGATGTGGTCATGACAATTAAACAGAAAGTGTTCAAAACGTTTCATGTACATTATCTCAGTAATCCTTACTAACAGCGTATATACATTTTGCTTATCCCTGCATTACAGATGGAAATGAGAGACAGCAGTTTGCCAAAGGTCATCGAGTGAGAAAGGCTTTTTGGTTCACTGTTTAAGTCTCCTATTCCTATACTAAACTGAACAAACCTGCTTACGGTTTACAGCCCAGTCCACATTTGGAAGGATGTCTTTCTTCTTGAAGGTTTCCTTTAACAGAATCACTGAGCAAAGGGACACCAACCTCACAGATAAACAGGATAAATATCCCTTCTGTTTTAATTTGTGGATTGGCAGCCAGCAACTCTACTCTGTTCTTTATCTTGTCTAAGACTTTTCTGACCAGAATATTCCTCTATATGTTTATCAAATTATGTAACTGTAGTTAGACTATCCTCACAGAGTGCTTGCAGTTTAGGCTTTTATTGTGCAATTGCCATGCCACATTTATGGAATTTTACAGGAGGTCTAGATGACATTGTCTTCTGTTTGCAACCATTCTGTTTTCTCACCACTTTCCCCATCCTTTATTTCTGGAAAGAAAACCATTATGGAGAAAAAGACAGAATTGCAGAGTTCTGATTGAGTGATATGGGATGGAACCCTTAATTTGTACCAAATCACCCTTTCCTGTGTGTTTGTATGTGATAAAATTTATGCAGTAGTGCTTAAATAAAAAGGTATTTCAGTGTTAATTTGTTTTTCAAACTGATTTAAGCATTGATGTAAAATGGGAGATCAGGTGAGTTGTCCCTTCCATCTCTAGTTATGTCATGCTGTGGAAGCACCACTAGAGGGATATGCTAGTACAAAAAGTAGATAACTCATTGATGTCTGTAAAAAGCACTAATTGGGTTTTGCTGGGGAGGTCACAGTCTGGATGGACCTCAAGTAAGTTTACAAGTTGCAAAGGCTTTTCATCCATCTGTATGGAGCTATACTGCATTACTGCATCAGATGTTTTACGTTCCTGTTGATTTTGGCTTTGCCAAGTGAAAAAAGAGTCTATTGGAGCAGTACAAATCATAGAAGCCCCCATGGAGACATGACTACTTACAGACACTGCTTTGTGCGAGTGCTGCAAAGCAAGCTGATGGTACTAGTAGGAGCCAGTGTGGTATAGAGTACAGGAAAGGGACTCAGGTGATATGGGTTCTAGTCCCTGCTTAGCCATAGAGCCAGCTAGGTGACTTTGGGCCAGACCCTCAGCCCAGGCTACCTCACAGGGTTGTTGTTGTGGAGATAAGATTGAGATCAGGTGGAGGAGAATGAGGTAAGCCACTCTGAATTTGTTGTAAATAAATACATCTAATAATAAATAAGCACTACTCTATACTCCTTGAGGCTACTGTTACATTAGATCTGTGTCTGAATGAAACCATAGGACTGGGCTTCTCATTTTTCTTTACCATGGACGTGACAAATAATTTTTACTGGAGGTAGAAGATTTTTTTAAAAAGTCACAGTTCACTGTTGCTACATGCATTTTTTCCCTATTTTCTAACATGTTTCATCAGGGGATAAAAATGGCTAGTTTGACTATTGGTAAAGCCTGCATGCAAAGATGACAGGAAACCAGAAAGTTACAAAAGCAGCTGAGTTCCTCTTTTTAATTCTGTTCAGTGAAATGCTTTAAAGAAAAGAAACTTGCAAAGTTTTCAGGTTCCCATTTTAAAATGTAAAAATAGTTTCTTTTAAAATACAGCTGAACTGGATTAATTCAATAGGGCTTTCTTTTTGTGCTGTTTTAACTGGGATCAGAAACTATCCCAGGGATCTTTGAACTGTTGAATTCCATGTAGTTCTGTGTGCTACGTATATAGCCTGAAGTGTCTGATCTTGCCTAATCTTGACCGCTAAATAGGGTTGGGCCTGGTTGAAATCTGAATGGGTGATTAAAATGTTGTGAACTGCCCAGAGAGCTTTGGCTATGGGTAGTATAGAAATGTAATTTAAAAATAAATACTACTATATTGGACTGTTTGGAACTAGTATTTTTGAGGCTCCAGCCTGTTCCTTTACTAAGTACTCTGCAATAATTCCACAGAGTAGTACAAAAAATGCACCCACATGTAGCCCAGAACAATTGCCACTAAATTCAGCATTTAGAGTGCCCATGAGAATGCACAAAAGGGCACCACCCACACAAGAAAAAGGAATTGTTAGCAGGCATTAAGGAACCTTGATTTGCAAAAATACGTACAGAAAAAAAGGCAAAACCTTGGAGGAAGAATTGAAGAAATTGAAGCTACTGGAGTATCTAGAATCTTGAACAACAACATTTTAGAATATACTGTCTTTTTTCTTACAAAGAACTCAAAATGGCTTTTTCTCCTCCTCCTGCTCTTATCCCTACAGCAACAACCCTGTGAGGTAGGTGAGGTCGAGAAACTGTGACTGACCCAAAGTCACCCAGTTGGCTCCATGGCTAAGTGGGAACTAGAACCCATATTGCCCAAGTCTCACTCTTAGCCTCTACACCACACTGACTTGTTTTGTTGCAAGTTGCCCTTATCCTGAGTCTATTTCTTCCAAACTCAAGATTACTAGGCACACATTTCATTGTGTGGTAAACAGGTGGGCAGAAGGCAAATTGGCTTCTATTGTTAGGTCCCTGGATGGTTTGCCATATAATAGCAAGGATATCTTACTTCCGACCGTTTAATAATAACATCAACAAAATGACAAACCCACACTCACCAGCCACCCTAAATTACAGGGCTGGTAAACAAAAACAACTTCTTGGACTCAGAATTCTTTCATTTGAAATGTATGTTGTTCCTGTCAGGCTTCACTTGATGGGTCCTGGGGTTCTGGTGAAAAAAACAAGATTCTGAAAGCCTGAAGTTTTTCTCTTCTGCAATACAGATGTGCCAATTACATCATTAAGAACAGAAACAGCCATGCTGCATCAGACCAAGGTCCATCCAGTCCAGCATTCTGTTCGCCTGTAGCTTATCAGCTGCGTACAGGAAACCCACAAGCAGCTCCTGCGCATGTTCCTCAACAATTGGTGTATGCTGTCATACTGTCTCTGATACTGCAAGTAGCATATAAAGGCATCAGAAGTAGCCACTGATAGCCACCTTCTACATAATGGTGACCATCACTAAATCTTCTGGTAGTGATTTCTGAAGTTTATGTGTTATATGAAGAAGTACTTCATTTTATCTGTCCTAATTTTCCACCAATCAGCTTCATGGAATGAACCCAGGTTCTGATCCTTTGAGGAGAAAAATCTTTTCTTATCCACTTCTTCCATATTATGCATAATTTTATGCACTTCTATTATGATTCCTCTTACTTTCCTCTTCTCTGATCTAAGTTGTACCCAGGGGAGTTGCTCTTTCCTGATATTTACGATATCCTTTGTTGGGTGTGGTGATCAGAACTACACAGTGTTCCTAGTTTGGTTGCACCATAGATTTGTATAATGGTAGCAGTTTTACTTTCAATTCCTTTCCTAATGAAGCCTAAGCTGAAATTTGCCTTCTTCACAGAAGCTGCACACTGCATTGGCATTTTAATCAAGCTGTCCAATACAATCTCAAGATTGCTTTCTTGGTCAATCTCACCAGCTTATTTTCTAACAGTGTATATGTGCAGTTTGGTTTTTGTTTGTTTTGGTTTTTGCCCCACTTGACTTTCTGACAGCAAACAGCATTTGCCATACTTGGAGAAATCCTTATGGAGCTCTTAGCAGTCTGTTTTTAATTTAGTCACTCTAAATAATTTGATGCCATCAAAAATGTGCCCATGTCATTGCTCACCCAATTCCAGATCATTTATGAAAAAGTTGAACAGCACTGATCTTAATACAGATACCTGTGTAGCCCTACTGTTTCCATCTCTCCACTGGGAGAATTAACCATTTATTCCTACTCAGTTTTCTTTTTTAAGTGGTTCACATGAGGATCTCTCCTTTTATTCCATGATAGCTAAGTTTGTTCAGAAGTCTTAGTAAAAGAGTTTATGAAAAAAATCTTTAGAAGGTCTAAGTAAACAGTGTCTATCCTTGTCCATATTTATTGACAATGTCAAAGAATTCAAAGGGCACAATATATTGGGCTGCAGCCTCAAAGCTCCTAAGTCTCCAAGCTCAGAAATGTATGAATATCATCTGTGAGAAGTGATTTACATATCTCTGCACCACCTGCTTCACAAGTCAACTAGACAGTTTCAATTGCCTTACTGTAGTGCTTTGGACAGGGAAGATGGGATTTATCATATCCTGGCACTGTCTCCTCTCCATCCTCCCCAGGACTCCCTTTATCTAAGGTCAAATGAAAGGGTCAGGGTATAAATGTAATATAATACTTCTGAGTAGGTATACTTGTATGTTAGACTAGGATGAATTATTTGTGTGTGCATGTGTAACATGGTGTTTGTGTATCTATCACACTTTTCTACAGTGCAACTGCAAAGCTATACAGAGATAAAAAGCATACTGAAAGGGCTGAAAGTAAACTTGCTCAGTAGAAATCAGTGGAAAGAGTTCACAGTGGAAAAGGGGCTGGGTAAAATAGTATTATTTAGTGGTTGACACAAGCAGTTCAATTTTATAAGGATAGTAGAATTTTCAGGATGCTGTAGCTGCAAAACCATTATTATTGTCTTTAGCAACAATAATAACTAATACCCATGTAATTGTTCAGGAACTCACTAGATGGCACTTCAGACTAAATATGACTTTCTCCATTACAAATGATACTGCTTTCCTATTTTGAATTTTTATTTCCTCTTTGAATTTCTAATTTGCTAATCATTTTAGGGTTTTCTTCTTTTTAACTTACTGGCTGTTGCGTATTAGTAGATTTTTAATTTGTAAAGACTTCCTTGGCAGTAATTCCTTCCAATTAGTTCCTCTACTTCTGAACTTTTACAGTATCTGGTACAAAACAATCGGACTATCCATCCTGTGCATTTAAAATCAGTCTGCTGCAAACATTCTTCACTGCAACCTATTTTAACATGGATCTATCCATTGCTTTCCTAGGTAGCATAAGAACATGAGAAAAGCCATGCCGGATCAGACCAATGGCCCATCAAGTCTAGCACTCCATACACATGGTGGCAGACCAACCGCCCACAGGATCCCTCAAGCAGGATGGGTACAAGACCTCTATCTGCCCAAGCTCCTCAGAAACTGGTGTATGCATAGTAGGCCACCTGTCCAGGTTATTTAAAAACCAGGTGGTTTATTTTTACTCTATTATAGCCCAACAAGGCTCATAATTGTGACATAAATTATACCAAAACTATCTTTATTTATCTTAACTGATTCACACTGAAGCCAGTACATGACTATTCAGAAATAAGCCCCACTGAGTTCACTGGGACTCACTGCCAAGTAAGTATTGGATCATAGCTTCCATATTAAGTCCAGAAGTGTCAAAGGATGAAAACATGCTGTTTACGTATCTTCGCTCACCATCAGTGTTGCTGTGCAACGGGTGAACTCAGTGGATGAAAGCAAGTCCTATTATAACGAGAGCAAAATGAGTGATGCACTGGAGCATAGGAGTGAATCAGGGTCAAGACAAAAGGCTCAAGACAGACAGCCCCAGCTGCTCATGTGGGTTGCAGTGAAATACTTTGCATCGAAGCAAAAAACGTATCAGCACAGACATTAATTCCAATCTGTTTTTATTTCCATTCTTTCCTTCATGTTGTGTGAAGTGCAACATAATCGCATTTCATGGCTGTCCTTTGTAGTTCCTTCAAATAGCATGCTAGAATGCATGCATAATTTGCTCACAACATGCCCAGATTCGTTTTCATAAGATGTGATTAAGCTGTTTTCATTTGTCTAATAAACCCTTCACCTCTGTAGTTGCTACTCATCCCCCGGCCGGCACAGATGCAAAATACGCGTTGTGTTGATTTGTGCTGAAAAGGCATCGTGCAGCTGTCTCAAAATGTCTCAGCAATCATCAGCCTGTTTCCCGGGGAGACCTCTACTCCAGTTAAGAAGGCAAATGATTTTTCTTGAATAGAAACCTGAATCTTGTTCCCGGAGAATCTTCTCGATCCCAGGGGACCGCACCGCTTCGTTTCCAGAAACGGGGTTTCCCGCCGCAGGCGCAGACACTTGCTGGCGCTTGATATAAGTGCAAGAGCGACAACTACTGAATTCACCCCGCTTCTTAACTGAAGGAAGTTTACCAATCGGCCACAGCCTATGCAAGTTCGATGTGTTATCATAAATTTCCGTACGACTTGTAAACTGATGCCTGGGTAAATACCTCGAGATTGCAAGAGCAGTAGATCTCTACCCTCGTTATCTTTGTAAACGATGATGCGGAAAAGTCCGAAACTAAAATAGTAAAATTTACAGAGGTTTCTTTTTAAGAGTTTCTCATTATATGCGCGAAAGGTAGATCTTAGCGCAGCGTGGTTAGAACACCAGGCCATTGTTTGGCATTTGGCTTGTAGCCAGGTTCACACGCGGGCGATTAGAATGGAGATTATATACGCCGCAAAAGGAAATGACTAGTACTACATTGGGGTACCATTTTAAATTTTGTTTGTTTAAAGCTTAAACAAGTCTTTTCAAACTTGAGCCTTAAAATACAAGAAACTTGCACTTCAGGAAAATCTGCTTTAGCCCAAACTGCCCCTTCCTGTACTAATTTTTACGGTTCATGAATTGTTTGTTTTTCCTTATGCAGCACTGAAAAATAGGAAAACCCCGCCTCGCTTGTGGTATGAGTGGTACAGCGTATCCTACCATCCCAGGACTGTACAACCTCATTCAGCTCCGGGTCTAGTCCGGTCCCAGACGACCTCGCTCATTCTGTCATGACAGTAGAAACGCAGAGAATTCGTGCTCTGTCTTCAAATGGAAGGCGACCGCCAGTAACTTACAGTAGCTGCTGCTGCTCCCTCCCCTTGACTGGGGTAATTTCGATCAGGAAGGTTGAAATGCAGAAGTTTCTCCCCCGAACTGAGAGATCACTCTCCTGAGCAGGATTTCATGAACATCGGAGACCCTTTGTGGAGCTCCACCCGCTTTTCCCTCGCAGGAATTTGATCCGGAAGAAAGTCGCTGTCACACAAACAAAACACACCTGCATGGCCACTTTGCCCAGTTCCGATAGGAGAGCATTTGCTCTGAAAATTAACAGGTAAGTGTATTTTATTGAATTTGTCTTCCTTCAGCTGTTCGTTGGCAGCTGGTTGGGGCAGTTGGTGCTGGAGTGCCTGTGAATAGCGAGTTGAGTGTTTGAAGACCCAAGTGGGCAAACCCCGTGAAACCAATAAACCCATCCATGCCCCCCTTTAAGAATATGTTGACCATGATGCGTGCATTTCTACCAGTCTGCCCTAGTCTGGTACCCTCTGGTTCCATTAGACTACAACTCTCAGTCAACTCTCACTATTCTGGTCTTATTCATCTGTTACAGTTTTATCCTGCCCTTTTCCTTCTTGCAAGGAACCCAAAGAGGCTGACATGTTCTCCCTCCTCTCCATTTATCCTCACTACAACCTAGTAGGGTAGGGTAGGCTGCTAGTCAGTGACTGGCTCAAAGACACGCAGTGAACTTTGCAGCCAAGCTGGAACTTGAACCCAGGTCTTCTGTGGCCCAGGTCTATATTACCTCTGTAACACTGGGTTGGATTGTTGACAAACTGCTGTTTTGCCTGCTTTGGAAACCTCAAGTTGTGGAAAAAAAGATTGTATAAATGGGTTATTTCTGTAAGAAGGTATTGACTTGGTAGAAAATTTTTATTGCTCTGACAAATAGGACATGTCATGTGCTGGGTCAGAACTGTTTTGAGCATGTTTATAAAGTGCAGTGAACTTCATACATTTATGAATAACAATACATTTTCCCCTCCCCTTACATGGGTTTGGGAATGCAAATAACTTACTCTGGAATAGTCCAATAGGATTCTCCTGTGACTAGTCTATATATTGTATCCTATCGTTCTCAATTGTAAACAGAGTGTGTAATCTACAAAACTGCGCTATTTCCATTTTTAAAAGTCCCCATGAAAATAATTAGAGTAAGCCTATTAAGATGCAAGCAGGACAACATAAATAATGTAGGGACTGTGGTTTAAATGTGTCACATTCTCTACATGCCTTTAAGAGCTACACAATAGCTGGAAAGTCAGCAGGCACAGCTTTCCTGGGTATGGAGATGTTGGGGTGGCTAGATTCACCTGCTGCATATCTGGCTGACTGACACACACAGGTAAGGCTCAGGAAGTAGCTAGCAGCAAGAAAGGTTCCAAAAACTTCTGGTTACTTTAGTTCATATTTGATATCTAACATTACGTTCCTAAGAAATTCTAACAGATTTCAACAGAGCACACTTTAAAGGAAGAACATTTTTGTCAAGAGAAAAAAGGTATGGAATTATTACACATTCTGCAGTCCACATCAATTAATAATTTGTGGATGAACTAATTTAATATTTGAATACACCACTTTTTTACTTTAACTATGTGATTCTAATTATCATAACATTTTGCTTTGCAAGTATCAATCAGAAATAGCTTGCATAAACATGCTAAAATATTTGCTTCATAGTAGTCTTTTTAGAGATCATGACACCAGTTCACAAACCAGAGATTTTGGACTGAAGTTAAGATTCATTTATATTTGTAGAATACAAATACCTTCAACTATTCTTGTGTAACTGAGCTGAAACTTGAAGCTGGCTGATGTTTCCTTGAGGAATAAATCATGCTACTTGGATCAGACTTATATTTATTATTATTATTATTATTATTATTATAACATTTCTATGCCACCCCTTGCCGAAGCGTCGGGGCGGCTTACAACACAATAAGATACATTGAAATACAATAGAACATAATAAATTACCAATAAATACAAAAATACAAAAAATACACTGAGATATAACAATATAAAATTAAAATTAACAGTATAAAATAAGTAAGTAAAGAATATAGGAGGAGGAAAGAGAAGGAAGAAGAAGTTGCCCTGGCCAGATCATATATTTTAACAATTAAAATGATATTGAAGTAGAAAAGGAAGAGAATGCACTGTGAAAATCATACCCCAATCATGTTGGCTGAAAAAATAATTTTCTTCCCACGCCTTTCAGTGCTTAATGGCAGGTAGGCAACCTGTGGCTCTTCAGATGCTTTGGCCTACAACTCCCATCAACCCTAGTTAGCATAACCAGTCATGAGAGATGGACATTATACATGAAAGTATCTGGAGAGCACACAACTTGACATCCCTAACTTAATGTATAGGCATCCTGATCCATGTAATGACAGACTACAGAGCCAGGGGCAGTTAGTTATTAATGCAGCTGAACAATATTTCTGTTGATAAGCATAGGCAACATAGCATGGATCCATTCATTACAAATCTTGTTATAGGGTGAAAGTCTAAGTATACATTAAATCAGTATAAACATCACACATTCTAAGAAAAAAGTCCTCCTGAATTCAGATCTGGCATGCAGGGTTAGAGTGCAAAGAGAACAATGCTGCTTAGTCAAGAATGCCTAAAGTTGAAAAATCTTGGAATCATTTTGACAGTGAAAGGAAAGCCAAGGCTTTTGTTTTGTTTCGTTTCTGGCTCACCCATAAAGTCACTGAGTGATTTTGGGCCCATCACTCATTCTCTACCTAGCTTACCTCATAGGATTGTTGCAAAGTTAATATGCCGAAGAAAAGGATAATGCATGCCACCTTTAACTCCTTGGACGAAGGGCAGGATATAAATGTACTGTCCCAAAAGCTTTGATTATTGGGAGTTATAGAAATGAAATAAATGATAACAAGTGAGATTAAAGGTTTCCAGTTTTTTGGAATGGATGTGCAGAGAAAAATTTAAAGGTACATTTCCCAATCAAAATATTTTTAACTGTTCCACATCTTTTGAGATCTTAAGAAAAAATGTTTCTGAACTTTGGTACAGTGGCTTCCAGTTATGCAATTGCAAACATGCCTTTAAGAGTTGCTGAGAACCATCTGATGCTGGTCTGCTTCATCTCAATACTTGATTGTGGATAAGTACTTTTAGCTTAAAATGGAAGCTTGATATAATAGATGCTAGGGACAAAATGAAAAAGGTTCTACAAAAAAGCTATAAAAAAGAGGGGGAAGTATTTCAGGGATTCATGAAAATTAAACTCGTACAGTTTAGTGCCTGTAAGTTTGGAAGCAAAGCAAAACCACAAAATATAAGGCAGTGGTTTCTACATACTTGGGAGATCCTCTAGCTATGTGGAATATAGGTTGATAAATTACAAGAAAAAGAATGAGGGAAATCCACCAAATTTGAGCACAGGCAAAGAACTGTGGGTTTTCACAACCTTCAGAATGATGTGGTGACAGGAAACAGGAGGTAGATGGGGGAATAAGTGGAATTAAATCATAACATCCTGGATGTATATGTATGGCCAGGATGAGGTTGGAGAGAATGAAATTAAAGGCCCCCTTCTGGGCACTATATAGGGATGACAAATTTTCCCTTTCCCACTATGCAAAATCAGTAGATAGTGATGATGATAAAGTTCTCAATCTTCAGACTGTTAGCTCGACCCAAATTCAAGTCCTCTAGGTGCTGTGTAATGCAGCAACCTAAAGTCTTGTGGGTGGGGAATATAAGAGTCCTTTCCCCCCTTTCCACTGAATTCTTCACTATGTGGCCTAAATAAGATTGTAAAATCTCTCATTCAGAACACCCCTGGGGAAGGATGCACATTTTTTGCCATTTGTATAGCAGTTGTTGAGTCTACTGGTAAATCCAAGGCTATTCTGGCTTTAGCTGATACCATCACAGTTCAGTGACTTTTGCTGTCCAGTTCCATGACACAGCACACCATTTCTGGGCAGGAAATCTCAAATAAGAAGGTTGTACGCACACTGTGTGGTTGCTGCCAGTCTTTCCTGTTTCCTCACTTCCACAAGATTTTGTGTTGTGAGTTATGGCTTGCATATGCAAGGGACCCTGGTGGATTACAACACAGCCACTTCCTATTACTCAGAGTCCAGTGTCCAGAACAAAAAGTTGCATGAGTGGCAAAACATTTCACAAAATATCAAACCAGCCCTATGAAAATAGTGAAGTCCCCTAATTACATTACCTTGCTGTCTGTTTTATATGCAGGGCAGACACTGATTACTTAGCTGCTAAAGAGAGAGCATGACAATGAGCAAGAGACAGTGTGGAAACAGACTGGTTAGTTTTCCTTTATGTAGATGTCTGGGGAAGTGTGGCAGCTTTCCCAGACTATCCCACAAACCATGAGATACCATCCAGTCTTCTTGTTCTGCTGTTATGAATGACATTGCACTAGGGCTCATATTGAAACAGAACTTTCCCATCTTGTCCTCATCTTTGCAGCCCTCTGGGGTCCCCGACACCCTGAGTGGATTTGGGAGAAGTGGTCTAGTTCCAACATGTGGATGTCTCACAGTTGGCTAGCTTCATTGGCTCGAGAGACCTAATTGGGTGGCTCTAGGAAATGTGTTTCACCAACTGTTCCCTCCTGCTGACAGAATGGTGTAATTGGATGCTGGTCCTGGTCAAGAAGAACCTTGAAAGCCAGCAAATAATGAAGAGTTCCAATTAACAACTTTGGTACTAAACTTTAAAGCATGTGAAGTTTCTGGATTCCCTTCAAAGTGAGCCCCATGTAAGCTCATTGCAGTGATCCAGCCAACACATTGCAAAAATACAATGATCTACAAATCAATATTTTTGCCTTGGATTTTTGTAGTACTTCCAGGACATTAAAGATCTTGGCATGATGAATTTGCAACATTTTTTATGTGGAAAAAAGGGATGAAATTACAAATAATTTTTCTAGCTTCTCCTGCTAATTAGTGAAATACTTGATTCGCTCTTTTGGATCCTTCTGGTTTTTTGAAGTGATTCTGATATAATTGTAGCCTTTATGAAATATCCAGTTCAGTGACATCAGTGGGAATATGTAATCCTCCAAAGTTGCCAGCTATAAAAGAAATTAATATAGGAGGGGTGGAAAGGTTTCTTTTCTCAGAGAAAGAATGACTGATCTACTTAAAAATGAAAGAGAACTGGAGACATTTATATTCAGTTCATGTTTGTCTAATCAAGTCTATTCCTTGGCACCATCCTTTTTATACAGTGCATTTTGGTGGGAAAGTTAGG